GTCTGTTCAGCTCCAAAGTTAGCTTTATAGACTGTATTTAAGACATCTATGATGACAATGAGTGAATAAGTGGGAGTGCATTTTGTGTGGAGCTCTACAGTCGGCTGAAGAAATCTAACTCAAGAGGGCCTCCAGAATTGTCTGCAATTACGCACCAATTATCGGGGGACTCTTGTGACGAGCTTTTTTCCTTCGGGCTGTGGTGCACATGCTTTCTTGCTTTATGATGCCTCTAAAACTAAAGCCTCAGGTAAAAGAGAGTGACGGAGGTTCCTTTTTTATTTTGATTTAGACGAAACAGTGATTTTATATAACTGTGATGTACTGCTGTGTGCCGTCTCTGTCACACAAGACACACTATGGCAGGTTGACTCGAGCCGAGGAAGACTGGTCCACTTTAATCACCTTTTAGGAATCAGTGCTTTGAGGGCTCACAGTCTGAGTGTGCAGTGCCAGTCGTTGTGCAGTAAATGTGAACGTAATGGGTTAGTGCCCATCTTTTCAAGCCCAAAGTGGGTCAAGATGGCAGTCTTACTGTGTAGTGCTTTTGCCATTAGCCTATGATTGAACTACAGAGTTTTCTCAAATAGTTGTCCACTTAACTACAGATGGTGCTCCACTTCGCTGCAAACGCTCTCCCACTTTTCTCGCACACATTTCAGGCTGTTGCTGGGTGGTATTGATAAAATTCAACATAACAATGGATATTTAATGATGAAAAGCTATAATGAGGATATTAAATTAGCATTAAGTAAGATAAAAGAGAGTTACATTGGTTCTTCTAATGTTCTGCAAAATTTAACTGTTGGAGACAGATTTCTTTGCAGTGGTGATAGGAACCAGGGGTCACAATGTCTACAAAAGGGGCTGCAAACTACTTATTTTCACTAGTCGACCACAAAAGCACAGATGGTCTGATGTAAACAGCACGCTACATTCACCACCTCTCACTCACTTCTCCCAGAGAATATAAACTGGCTGTGGTCCGTACACTGTTCAATGGGAAACAAATAACTGTTTATTGACAAATAAACAGATAAACAATATATATATAAATATACGTTGCTGTTGTCGGAAGAAAACCTTGTATCTCCAAAATGATGAATTTTACAAGAGAAGGAAAAAAAATTCTCTACTTTTAATGTAAGTCAAAGGAACCAGACTTTTTTCCAAGTAATTTAATATGCACAATATAAAGGGCAACAGGTATTTTCAAATTATGTCAAAAACTGGAAAACGAGGTTACGAGGTTTTCTTCCAACAGCTATATTATATATGTATATAAATATAAATATATATGTATATATAATATAAAATGTGCAGTAATAATATATACAAGTATATACACTTAAAAATGAAGGTTCTTCAAGGATTCTTTAGTACAGAAAATGGTTCTCCATAGAACTGTGAACACTCAAACAACCCTTCGCATAATTAAAGGGTTCTTCGCATTGTGAAATGGTTCTTCAAATTGATAGAGAATGTGTTGTAGATGGATCTATATAGAGCCTTTTTGAAAACGGCTCTTTATAGCAACAGAAAGCATTCTGCTATTGTTACTATACAAACTTGTTACAACAGAAGAATGCTTTTTGACGCTATATAGAACCCTTTTCAAAAAAGGTTCCATATAGGACCATATAGAGTGTGTATACACACACACACCCCCCAAATGTGACCAGATGTTTCACATGTCAGTCAAATGGCCCTTTCCTATCACAGTTCTCAAAGCCTACCAGGCCTGACTTGTAAGCCCATTTCAGAACAGTCTTATGCAGCTTGCAGTAGAATAGGTTTGATTCTGTGTAGTATTTCCACACTAATAAAGTACTTTGAGTAGAAAAACTGATTTCTATTCTCTCCTCCTGCCTCTTCACTGCATTTTTAGCACCACTGTATTTCAAGCACTATCCTCAACTAGTCAACTTCTGCCTACAGCGCCGACTAGAGGATTTATTAGTGGACTAGCCGATTAGTCTATGCAACTCCTGGTCTTCAACACAAATATAGTCACTTTATCTGCTATCAAAAATGACCAATAAAACTACACGTCTTCTGGGAGTTGATATGTAATGTTGTTAATGGTAAAACAGTGGTAAATCTGTTTTCTTTGGTTACTATTTTGCCTTACAGCACCCTGCATATACCTCACCACCGTGAGTGGATTTTAAAAATACATTTGAAGCCAAAACCTTTTCTCAAAAACATCATCTTGGGCATCAGGCAGCGTATTTGCAACAATTTCATGTGATAACTTTCTGTGACATAGCTTTTAGAGGTATTAAATGCTTTGGATGTCCAGTTCCCATCACCACCATTCTAGAGAAACTGATTTTCACATCACTGTGAATCACTCTGCTTTTGTTCTGGTCCACTTCTCTTTAAATGACACCAAAAAAAACTGTACAATTTATCATAAATGTTAACCAGACAGATACCTCATTTCCAGACAGGCAAATAACAGGAAACTAATGTTTATTTAGTTCTTATGTATTTGGAAGTGGTCTTGTACAGCAATCTGAAACACCAAGCCAATGACAATTGCAGATAAGTAAGTTTTTATCTATCAGTACCTCTAAAACTAAAAATCAGTGTGTAGCACCAATAGCCATTAAACCAGTACAGACAAAATATCACCAAGCTCTATTTAAGGTGCAAGTATAATTCATAAACAAAAACAAAGAGAAAAGCAGAGTTATCAATATTATTGTTTGTGCAAATTGTCTACAGCACAGAATAGCACGTGTAGCTTTCCATAGCAGAACAATCCTCTTCCTCTTGCAGTAGGTTCTCTTTTATTAAGACCTCCAAGGAGCACACGCACACAGTCATATCAATTAATCTCCAGATCATTGTGCCCTTTGGCCTCAGGCTGCAATACAGTTCCTATATCTACAAACAAAGAAAGCCTAACACATCCAGATTAGTCTAGAAATCTCCCTGAGCTCTAGTCACGCCGTTGACCACATTGCCCATGAGACTGGCAGTTTTGGTGGGTGAACAGGGAATGAGTGGAGAAGTGTTGTTTTTTCCTCTCATCTCATTTCAGTAGGGTACTGAAAGGTTACACATGGAGAGTCTGAGACTGTAAACATCAGGACAGAATGCAGGCAACAGGTAATGATGTAATCAGATCTACAGTGAAGTATCGGGAGTTGAAGCAAGTTTGTCAGCTCCCAGCAGAATATCCAGTTCAAAAGCTGCAGCATAAACACATTTGAAATAGTCGGTCACATGTGCTCATGTATCAGTTTAATACGGTGAGTTGAACTGCGTGCTTTCTTACAGTTAAATTAATGCTAGTGTTCTTTTTGGTTCTTAGGTTTTCAGCTGTGATCTTCAGGGATTTTGTGCGCATTTAAAAACGAGGGATTTTAAAAATGATCCCAAATTGTTTAATCCGTTTTCATGTAAGAACACACTGCAAAGGTGTACATCATCACTGTCAGATCAAAACCTTGTAATCCCTTTTTTTCTTTTTTCTATTTTTTAACATTGTATTAAAATTTCATGGCAAACAGACCAAAAGAAATGATCCAAAATTACTTATTACTAACCAAGGACACAAAGTGTCACTTAAGAGCAATGGGCCTCAGTCACTAAACTTGCTCTTGAGAAAGGTCCTAAGAAAAAGTCTACGTCAGATTCATGACGTGTTCTGAAACTGCAGAACTGTTCACACCTTTGTGCTCTTGAGTGTGCATAGACTGTTCTTACCTATGAACAAATCCCAAATAAGAAAACATTGGTGAATGTCAGAATCTTCGTAAAAAAAAAAACTGTGTGTGTTTTAAGTGGAAATTTCTTATTCAGAATGGTTGGTGAATCAGGCCCAATGCACTTATGAAAACAATATCTACTTGACTGCTTATGGCTCCCCCTTGTGGAATTTTTTTTGCCTGCTAAACATGAGTTAGTGAGTAGATGATGGGTAAATAAGGTGCTTTGCATCTAATAATATCTTGGTACAATAACTTACGATGGAATTACACTACACGACTATTAAAATCCTAACAGGTTTCAATAACAGACAGCTCTACTCACTTTTTACAGTCTTTTACAGAATTTCTTGTATTTTTATCAAGGGGCAAACACAGGTTATTGCATCTACAACAAAGTGCAGCAACAAAAAAGCACTCAAATATCCAGCTCTTGCTGTCATCATGTGATAGAAACAAAGCTAAACTGGACAGGACCTGTTTGTGCTTTTACGGTACACACAAAAAGCATAGCAAAAATGCAAACCGGTGATGAATATGGGGTTGAGAAACACAGATGTCACAGTGAGAGCTGGAGAAATATTTCACTAAAACTGGCAGTTGACTTTGAAATTGTAAAGAGGATGACATGACATCTGAGTCCATACATTACGAACACTGTAAAGGCTTATAATTGCCTGTGTTCAACAAGCAGCTCCTCTATCTTGTGGTGTGCATACACATCTCTTAGTCATTTTTCTTGAAGCTCTATCATTGGCTGTTGCCTGAACTGATTATTATTCAATTACATCGCTGACCATCTTACACTACAGAACTGGAGAAAACTTCATTTCTGATTGTTGAAATCAGGCTAAAAGTCATGTAGCGAATGCCCAGCTTTACTTTAAAAGCTAAGAATGTTCTTTCCGTTGCCATTTTGGAGATACAAGGTTTTGTCGTGACAGTGATGATATGCACATACAGTAAACTGCTCATGTAAGTTTCCTCTGTTTTTGTTGCAGGTCCTGGACACTGACATAAACATCTTCTCGCATTTGTCTGATCAGAATACACTGAGTAGGATGGAGCCTCTACAAGCATGGAGATGAGTAGAAGGATGTGTGGAAAGGAGGTGACTGGGTGTATGGCACTGTTTAAGCTATACACTTGTATCTACGTAACTGCGCCATTAGACTAATAATACAGACCCCACTAAGCCCTGTAGCTGGGCTGCTAGTTGGTAAGAGAGGATGGGTGATAAGCCCATGAATGTAATTTCTGCCCATTATCCTTATCCTATCCTCTCATGGATCCCACTGCTTCCACCCGCACTCTGTGGAACCTGTCCCACGCCAGCCAATGGCAGCCCAACATCACCCAGTCCAATGGCTCAGGAGTGATCCTACCCAGTGATGGTGCTCTGCTCCAGATGCTGGCCCTCTGTTCTATGGTCCTGATGGACATACTGGCTGTGGTGGGCAACTTGGCTATTATGACAGTCATCGCCAGGGCACCGCGCCTGCACAAATTTGTCTTCGTCTTCCACCTGTGCCTGGTGGATCTCCTGGCTGCTCTAGTGCTGATGCCTCTAGGGATGCTCACAGAGAAGGCTTTCTTTAATGAAGCCGTCTGCCAGGCATACCTCTGTCTGAGTGTTGGGCTAATTAGCGCTGCTATCCTCACCATCTCAGCCATCAACGTGGAACGTTACTACTATGTCGTCCATCCAATGCGCTACGAGGTTAAAATGACCATGGGGCTGGTGGTTTCAGTTCTTGTCGGCATATGGATCAAAGCTATGCTCATGTCTGCACTTCCCTTGCTGGGATGGACGCTGCAGAGGGACGAAGCCCGAATGAACCTTGTTTTGGAACCAAGATGCTGCTCTTTGCATTTGATGAACCGGGGTTCCCACCGCTTAGTGTTTATGATCTTCTTCACGCTCATATACTTCCTGTGTCCAGTCCTTATCATTTTGGTGGTGTACTGTAACATGTTCAAGGTGGCCAGGGTGGCAGCGATGCAGCAAGGTCCCGTACCTACATGGGTTGAAACTCCACGGCCACGCTCCGAATCCCTAAGCAGCCGTTCCAGCACAGCGGCCAGCCTCGGAGGGACCCGCAACACGCCACAGAGGACTTTTGGTGGAGGCAAGGCTGCAGTCGTGCTAGTGGCCGTCGGGGGTCAATTCTTAGGCTGTTGGCTCCCCTACTTCTCTTTCCACCTCTACTCTGCCATCATATCCTCCTCACCCGCATCCCTGGCTCAGCTGGAAGATGTGGTCACCTGGATTGGCTATTTCTGCTTCACCTCCAATCCCATTTTTTATGGCTGTTTGAACCGGCAGATCAGGGAGGAACTGGCGAGGAACATGGCCCTGGTTTTCAAGTGGGGGCGGCCACACGAAGAGGAACAGCTGCCCAGTAGGGAGGCTTCTATCGAAGAGAACTTCCTGCAGTTCCTCCAGGGCACTGGCTGCAACCTTGGGCCCAGGAACTCGCACAGCACCTCAGTCCCCCACCAGGAAGATGACGACGCTCTCATGACTCATCGCAGGCCTTCCGGTGACTTCCACATCCCCGGACAGATCATGGAAGAGACTTCGGAGTTCATTGAGCAGCAACAGCTGAATGATCTCAAAATATCAGACAACTGTATCAAAACGAGACCTGAGCTGCAGGGTTAATATTTAAAGATGTGTAATATATATTTTATTTATCTTTTTATTGTTACCATGTTTGTTGTTAATTCTTTTTGATACTCTGCCCAACAATTTGTAAGTCAAAGAGGCTATTATTCGGTTTGTAGAATTTTGTGGAAAGCATTTTCTCTGGAAGAACTGAGTTGATAAACAACAGTTGTTCCAAGTGAGGCTGACAGCAAATGATCTCATCTTTGCACCTAGTTACTAATCCTTTATTTATTGGCCCACCAATTATGAGAGTGTGAGGGGTTGCCTGTTACATGATTCAGCCGTTGGTAGCTTAATTAAACTGTGGCATTAGGAGTGTAGGCCGACCTATGTGACTATCAAAGGAGGCTTGTAACCAGATGTATCCTTGTCTGTTGCATTTTAATACAGGAGTATGAATGAAAGAAGCACTAAATATGTGCAGGAATAAATATCTGGGCTTTACTGAATGGTAAGAGGATAGAAGAGATTGTGTGATGTATAGAAAGAACCAGAAATTGATTCTTAGAGAAACACTGGATGCAGGATAATTCAAAATGTTCTGATGGATAAACATCTAAGGAGTTTATATCTTGGGCCATTTAGAGAGGGACACACTTTGTAACAGAAAAAATAAACATCGCTTCAGCATATTAAGTCACGCTTTCCACACCTTGTGACATGGTTAGCACAGTTTACTCCCCCAGGCTTTAAGCTTCATGAAGCACCTGATGATCAGAATGGTAGAACAATCAGATAAAAGGGTCACGTTGGGTCAGCTGTGAGCATGGGTCACTACAGATGTGCTCTAAGATCTTATTTAGCTTTACAAACTACTGAGCTGAAAGAGTCAGTTCATTTTGGCTCTCCACCCACGCTCACAACACAATGCAGCTGCCGATTTACCCCATAGGCAAAAAAGATTATCTTGCCATCTCTTTTATACCAGTTGCAGTATTTAGCCAGATCTCCTACCGCATCTGAATGGGTGAGTTTATAGCATAGAATGTGCACCAAAACATTTTCTTTTCCATTCATTATCCAGTCACTTCGCTACCCTAATCTCTGGAAAAGTTCATTCACAGAGTTCTCTAGTGCTCAGCAGGCACTACACTAAAATAACAAACTGAAAATATGTTGAATGCATTTGAGGTAGCAAAGGCAGTGTATGCTGACTTTATTTGATTAAATGGAAACGTGAGGCCTAATAAAATTAAGCTGAGGTGGGTCGTTCAGGTCCAGAAAGTTAAAATCCTTCCCCAAATTTTGTTCCAACACCGTCGTTTACTAAAAGCCCGGCAGTTGGGACAAAATCTTACGGAGGATTTTTACTCTCTAGACCTAAATTAACTGTCTCTAAAATTAAGTTTGTACAACTATTTGTTTGTTTATGTCTGTTGAGAGGAAAGGAGGGAATTTCCAAACAAATTACAGCTCCTAAAGAATAAAGAAGAGCATTTTAACTGAACCTAACTGTATGGTACTATTTCCTGAGTGGTTAGCCTTTTTAAAGAGTATTGTGCCATGAAGAAAAATCAAATAAAAGATCAAATAAATATTTTACTGGGCTGCCGTCAGCTTGCTTTGGAGAAATTCTGCTACTGGATAATCAAATGCCAATGGTCTCATAAGGTGAGCAGTATTGTAGCTTGGTTTGCACTAGAGAGGTAGCGGTTCTTGTGATTGCGAATAGACACTGCCCAACATGAATGTGCCGTTGTTTAGGGGTAAACCTGACTCTGCTCCCTGCAGTACAGAACTGTTGTGTTTTGCCATAAGCAGTCTCAACTTGTTGTGGCTACAGCACGCAATAAAAGCAATACTTATACATGTTCATAGTTTCTTTTGCCCTCCTTTACTGCTAACCGGACTAAACTATCTCACCTATACCTCTCTCTACCACCTCAAAGAGTGACAGAAAAACTACTTAGAAGTCAGAATATGTTTCTTTCTTTTCTCTTTAAAGGGCCCATTTCCTACATATTTCTTTTTTTCCCCTTGAGGTCCACACATGACATCTGTGTGGTTTTATGTAATAAAAAAAAGTTGTAACTCAATTTTACACGACCATATTCAGTCTCTCTACTTCTCACGATTAAAGGGGATTGGCACTGATTTTATACATCATCTAAATTTTATACTTAATTCAGTCATTAAAGTGTAAAAAATCTGAGTGGTTTGATGTGAGATGGTTTATTTTTGAGAAACTTACCAACATGGATTTCCCAACAGTGGTGGTGACAGGAACACAACACAAATATAGACATTTTTTACCATCCAAACTGATCAGTGAGCCCATGTTTGTTTATAAGTTTTTATAAGTGCATCTCCTTTTCCTTACAATGGCCTTAATTAATATATTTTTTTAAAAATACATGTTAGGCCAAAACTATCATAAAACAATGATTCTGGCACCAGGTAATATATTCATAACCACTTTGTGTAATACACACTTGAAAATGTTGGTTCTTCAAGGGTTCTTTAGGAAAGAAAATGGGTCTATATAGAACCAAAAAGGGTTTTTCTATTGTTTCTATTGTTCTATTGTTTTATTGTCAAGCTTGTAATAACAGAAGAATTTATGCTATATAGGACCCTTTTCAACACATTCTCCATCAAAGAACCCTTTCACGATGCTAAGAACACTTTAATCATGCAAAGGGTTTTCTGAGTATTCATAGTTCTATATAGAACAATTTTCTTTACTAAAAAGCCCTTAAAGAACCATCAGTTTTAAGTGTGTAGTTTCTGTGAGGGAGCCTGAAGAGGCATTAAACACTTTGGACATCTGGTTCCTGTCACCACCACTGTGAACAATTCAGACATAGCGAGCTTGTTTACATCATAATGATTTAATTATGCTGAATTTAAAAAAAACAAACAAAAAAAAAAACATAAAATTCTCCACACTGTTTCTGTTACTGTCTTTAAGACTGATATATGTAAATGACCTCTGTTCTGATAGCGAACAGTGAAATTCTGACAATGTTTACATTCTAAACTATTATTTCAAAAAAGTGAAAACTAACTTTTCCCCCAAAATATGGGCCCTTTGATAATACAAACACATTGGAAGGTTTCAGAGAAGTCATTTTGAGGTATGAGGTTCCTAATTTTCCTGTGATGTGCCAGCAGTGCTCTCTGTTATTTTGCAGGTGGGCTGTTTTTACGGTCTTATTCACTGGAAAAAGGCAGGACTATAGCGTCAGTAGACAGGCTAACAAATCAATTCAACCTAGAAAGAAAGTGACAATATTTACAACCCTTCAAACATAATAGCACTAACTGTCAGTGCAAACTTAGCCTACAATATACCAAGGTATTGTATGAGCAACCTGTAACATAAACATATTTTTAATTTACTAAAAACATATGGTCAATGATTTGTAAAAATGCTTGAAAAGCACCCACCATGATAACATACTGGACGTGTCAAAATTTGAACTGCAGGCTATTCATTTCCAATAAACGCGTTCAAATGCTCACCCAGGCTTTTAAGATACTATCACACAATTATGTTTGGGTGCTAACAACAGAAAACATACTTTAATATAAAATAAATCTGCCCAATGGAAAACATCAACAAAATAACAATGAAAATGCAAAGTTAATCATGCTATGCTAAGTAAGTAGCCAACATTTATTTTGTCCTGCTGCAAGTCATGTTATCGTGTGCATCCTTCTGCAAGTCTTTTACTGTATTATACTAGACGCACAATTTCTACATGCTGATTACTGAATGTTTTTATTGCAATAAAGCTATTGAGGCCATTTGGTGTCATTGTTATGTCCCAAGCAGTTAAAGTGTAGTGCTGCAATGGTTAACAAAGCCTTAGACTTCACCTAAAAAGTTCAAATTAAGATCATTATTAGGATTACAACTCAGGGGGTTAAGTGTGAGTGTGGTGTTTGTAAGCCTCCTCTTATTATCCCCCGACTGCCACTCCACACACATACTGGCAAAGACTGACTCACATTTCTGTGCTTTGATGTTTGGTAGGTGAGTAGGTGAGAGGGAGGCCCCTAGTGGTGAAGTTCAAACACTCTGACCTTTTAGCTGAGACGGGATAAAGGTGTTCGGCAAGCTTTGTGACTCATTTTCAGTATTGGTTAAAACTGTTCCTCGCTACTGATTTGACAACATCTGGAAAGAACATGCAAGAACAGCTGTCTCTCTCAAAAAGCTGAAGCCTGTCTATTAACAAATTACGAATTTTAAGAAATGTCTATATTGGATGTAAGTTTGATAGGCTGATCCACACACTAAAAATAATCTTAGGTTTTTTTTCTTCATTATATTTCCATATGGTTTGCTTACATTCAATACAATAAAATACTGGCTCTGTAATGCAAGTGTTCAACTACTCTGGCCTAATAGCAAGTCTAATGCCTGTTTGCCTTGTTAGTTGAGGTTATAATGCATTTGGATAAAGCCTTCACTCTGCCTTAACTTTGAAAAACCTTTTTCAATATTAACAATCTCAAGGTTTTTGAAAATTTAATCCCATTCTACAAGCCGTACAGGCAGGCCAGACACATGCAGCCTCAGCTGAGCTGTGGAGCATGGATTTATTTCCAACCATAGAGGAACTTGGTGTTTCCATGGTAACTTATCCTCAGCGACATTTCTCTGGCGGAGGGACTGTTTGCATGTAGGGTATATGTAGAGATCTTTTCCAATAGGCTCCTTCCAGTACAGTTCATCTTGATGAACGTAATGAAATATGTGCACTGTGCTTTCAACTGTACATCATGGTACATGTATTTTTAATGTTATTGTCTACAGCAAGGGGTGCACAACTCCGGTCCTGGAGGGCCGGTGTCCTGCACAGTTTTGTAGCTCCCCTACTCAAACCAATTAATCCTGACAAATAACAAATGAGCTGAATCAGTTTGAGCAGGAAAATCACCAAACCATGCTGGACACTGGCCCTCCAGGACAGGAGATGTGCACTCCTGGTCTACAGCATACACATGTCTATCTCAGTGGCCTACACTGAAGAAACATACTATTTCAAAACAAGTATAAATATCTTAAAATAGAAAACATAATCTCAGCCTACCTGGATTGACGTGGAGTCCTTTTGTCAGACAGTTTTACTGGCAACTGCAGTCTAGTCTGCCAGGCCTCCAGCAGAAACAAGTCAGGCACTGACTGGGCCTTTCTGCATGAAAGTAATGTTACATATGAATGAAATGTGGTAAAACTTTGTTTTATTTGAAATCTGTCTAAAAGTAATGTTTCATGGAAAAGTATAGTTCACTTATTCATCCATAGTCTACATTTACTACAGTGCTGGCCCTATTTTATTCTTTTTGAGTTGGTAGTTTTAACCTAATGTTGTTTAAAAAAAACGAAATTACATATTTTTTCACAATTCCTGCATAAATAAGTGGTTAAAATGTAAACAAAGTCATTCAGAGTGGTTAGAGGTGAAATACACTATACTAGAAAAACTACAGAAACAGAATTCCTCACGATGGTGGTGATATGAACCAGACGTTCGAAGCCTTTAAAGCTGGCCCCTAAGAATGTATTATTTGGCTCGCCAACCACACCTTGTCACTCAGTGAGAGAACAAATATATTATACTATATATAACTTATTAAATTCTTACTTTCCATTTAAAATCACATTTAAGTATTTTAGTAACAAAATAAAGCACAATGATATAAAATACATTTTTAAAAATTCTATTCAAAACCTAATTTCCTTCTTTATTTGCATTCTTGCCCTCAGCTCATTAAATAACTGAACACTGATGTCTGAAACACTCTATCACAACAGCTTTAAAATGAGCTTCTGGTCTGAAACATTTTTCAAAATTCAAATTCAAATTTAGTAGAGGTGCAGGGTGTTTTAACACAAAATAGTTCCCAGAGAAAACTTTATTTACCACTATTTTACTATTATAAACATTAACTGGGACATAAAACTGAAAAAATGTGTTCACTGATTATTTCTGACACTGACAGTACATAAAAGGGCTATATTTGTGTTGCTGACATCGCAACACCTGGTTCCTATCAACACTATTGTAAAGAAATCCAAAGAAATCCAATATCACACCAAACCACTTTAAATGACTGCCATGGGTAAAATGCACCTTTATGGGAAGTTCATGTGGTTGAATGAGTTTGTGAAGTAGTGATTAAGTGTCACGGAATGCACACATAATCACCTGTTTCCCTTTCCCATGTCCACCACTGGAGAAAAATATACAGCCATTTGGTAAGTCTTAATAATGGGAAAGTTTTCCATAATAATGACTCAGTATCTCATAATTAAGACTTGCTGCCTCATAATAATGAGATTATATCTTATAATAATGACTTTCCTACTGAAAATAGACCATTCGGATTAAAACTTGATGATTTTGCTTTTTAATGGGAATTGGCTTAATGGTTACCATTAGAGTTTCCTGTAGGGCACTTTTAGATCCCATTAGAAAACCATCAAATGCATCTGGAATCAGTCTCAGAACACTCATGTTAAACCATTAGGATTCTTTACACTGTGATGTCAAGCCAACAGGAAAACACAAAATACCACCAGGAACCAACAGAAACTTTTGAAGGTTTCTATGATTTTTTTCAGCAGGGTTAGTATCTCATAACAATAACGTAGCATCTCAAAATAATGAGAAAGTTTCTCTGAATTATGACTTAATATCTCAATCATATTTTCTCACAATTATGAGAATGTAAGCCATAATTATCACATAGTAAGCCATTATTATGAGAAAGTAAGTCATAATTATGAGATGTTAAGTCAGAATTATGAGATGATAAGTCAAAAATAGGAGGTACTAAGCCATAATTATGAGGTACCGTCATTACGATGACATGCTAAGTCATAATTATGAGATATTAGATCATAATTACGAGATGCTAGGTCCAAAATATGAAATACTAGGCCTAAGTCATAATTATGAGATACAGTCATTATTATTATTAGATGCTATGTCATATTTATGAGATACAAAGTCATAATTACGGAAAGGTTTCTCATTATAATGACTTACTGAATGGCTATTTTTTTTTTCCAGTGGCGGGAACGGATTTCCATGATCACCCGCTCATTTTGGATTCAAAAATTTAAAAACGGATCTGCTGCTGTTTCCAACTAAAGAAATTATTTTTTCGAGTTGTTATTCTCACAGTTACAGTCCAGAGATGTATTAACACTCTAACTTAACAATTAGTAATTCTATTTATGATTAATTAAGGTGACAGTCAGCTTCAGCTAACGTTAAATTGTCGTTAACAGGTAGTTTCTCGTAACATTAGCCAGCCAAGGTACCGTTAGCGAGCTAACCTAGCTAAGCTAAGGTTATCCTAGGAGACTTCCCTATCGAGGTAGATTAAAACTGACGGTAAATTGTTATTTTTCTCCGTTTGGGTGTTTGAAAGACAGTGGTGTACAAGCAAAAGAATCTAGTCTAAAGTTAGTACGTTAGTAAATTAGCTGTTAGCCTAACGTCACTCTAACAATTAACTCAAAGTTGTATGCTAGCGTTAGCGTTAGCTTGTGCCCGATGTTTGCAGCAGTAGGTAAATCAGCTAGTTTACTTTGCCTCTCCCAGTGGGTTTATCCACCATTACAGCCGTATCTTAAAGCCTCTTCAGTCATGAATGACGCGTCTCCTTTCTTTAATCACAGAGCAAAAACACTTGCTTTGGTGAGCTAACGACATGCTAGTTTAATAGAGGACGCGACGCTTCTTGGACGTGTGATCAGCGCAGCACCTAAAAAGAGATGAAGTACTGTAATTGAACTGTCGGTGTATGTGACAGGGTTGTCATCGTGAGCTTATTTCCCACTGATCATGCAACAGTTCCTACCTTCTCACTCCGTTTTTGTCCCCAGCACTTTTAAACACAAAGTGACGCCCAAGCTCCCACAGTCTGATCATATGTGGTAAACTGTCCCAGTGTGTGAGTTCAACCGAAGCTTCAGCTGAACCTGACCACTCCAGGATAAGCGGCTAGTGAAGGAAGGTGAGTAAAGAAGCAAAGTTTAATCACCCAGTCAATTCCACGAAATTTGACCAGCCAGTCAGACCCCAGGAAGGATAATTGAACGTTAATCCGAATGCAGGATGGAAAACTCAACTAGTAAATAAGATCACAGGGTAAAAAATTCAACTAGACAATAAGATTAATAATTCAAACAGGATTTGTATTCATGTAGCCAGTTAGACTGCAGGAAGAAAACTTCAAATAGCAACTATGACTCCCGGCTCTATAAATCAACTAGCCATTAGATTGCGCTATTGAACATGCATTTGATCAATCAGATTGCAAGATTGGACGTTGAACTAGCCTATTAGATTGTGAGAAGAAAAACAATGTTATTACAGGAATAACACTTCAACTAGCCAATCAGAACACAGGGGGGCAGAATTGTACTGCTTAGTATAGTGCCAATCTGACATTTTTACAGTAGTTTGAAGTCAATGTGAATCCGAAATCATAACACATTCCCTCTGTGCCGTGGGTCTCTGAGCTAGCTGAGCAATTTGCTGGATGATAAGTGGAAGTGAGGGGAGGTGAAACATGATATTATTGGTTAATGTGATTTTTGCCTGCCCACTGGTGCATGATGATGTAACCAAAAATCAGAAGATATTTCAGAGCTTGGCAAAAGTCATCACATTTTGAGAGAAGATTACAGGAAATAAAGGGTTTTAATATGATTTGTTGAACTGTGGTTCATATGACCAGTTACTTGAACTAACAAGGAAGTCCATCTTAGATTGACATTGAAATAGTTTCAAGTGCGCAAAGAAAATTGTATGCACATTTGGCCAACTACAGTTGGAAACTAGGCCAGCATCAGTAACAAGGGACTTTTTATGCTTATAGCACCTGCTGTTTGTGAGTTCCACAAGTGATTTCTTTGAAATTAGGCTGCCAGTAGCTACAAGCCCAGCAAAACCAGCAGCTTGAATTGTTGCACAAAAGAGTGAAATGTAAAAAACATGGCAAATGTGTCAAGGTAGAAACATCCAGTGTTCAAAACGTAAAGTTTAGCCTTTTATTATCCAATCCAGATTTAAACCCTATAGAGAACATTAGAATATTTGGCCTTACATTAACCACAAACTAGCTTGGCAGTGTTTTTCAACTGTTTAAAGCCATCAATGTTGAGTGGTACAACATTCAAATTTTGACTCTTCTTTCTGTAAAACGCTGTCTGTAAGACTTAAACATTTAAAGAAATCAAAGGGAAAATCTATCACATACCAAGTTGTTTAATCTATTTGTTTAATTCTTGCTAATTTACTAATTTACTGACTACTGATTTGTGGTTAAGACATTAAAACAATGTTCTGCCATTTTAGATTTTATATATAAAAATATAAATATGTATATAATCGTCTTAAAAGACAGGTAGAAATGTGGCGCTCGATCTCAGAGGAAACTACATTTCCCAGCATTCGGTAAAAAGCCTTTCCTCACGCTTTTCTGCATTTTTCCGAGCGGCCGCCGAGTGTGGACGGAGCGCGCGATCTGAAGGCGAGCTGAAGCGAACGGCCAACTTTCTTTGACAATTTAACCCATCCAGTCAAAACTTGTTTATATATACGTGCTGTTATTTGGACTGAATTAAACTGTTCTCAGTTGGGCTTTCAGCTCTTTTGTCGACCCCCGCGCTGCTTGTAAAGTGCAGAGCCGTATCATTGGTCACTTTTTTCACTCAGCAGAACACCCAGCTGGGCTGCTGGATCTTCTCCAACGAGCAAACGCATGCGGTTTCCCCGGAGCTGCCCGTCTTCGTGAACATCTGAGCTCCGTGTTTCCTCAGCCTCTGTTCTGAGGTGCACTTAAACGGCAGCTGCTGGTGTGTTTCGCTGCTGCTGCAGCTGCACGGCAGCTCGTCGCCTTGCTCTCCTTCCCATGTGAGGAGCCGTGCCAACGCCTTTTTTCACTGTGACACGCTTCGCTGTTCTGCGAAAACGGCAGGCAACGTTGGTGCTGCGGCCACTTTTCACTCTCTCGTTTCGCGTCTACGTTGGAGCAGCGAGCAGGCGGCTGGCGGCGAAACATGGGCTGCACATTAAGCGCAGAGGACAAAGCGGCGGTGGAGAGGAGTAAAGAGATTGATCGCAACCTGAGGGAAGATGGAGAGAAGGCATCCAGAGAAGTCAAACTACTGTTGCTCGGTGAGTGAGACGCTAACATGCTCGTGTGCTTCGGTTCAGTGAGGCCGGATGCCATGCCGACCAAATGACCGTTAGCTCTAGTCAGGTATAAACTGCTGAAATGTGGCTTGAATCTGTTTAGTTCAGACATATTGGCAGTCAGTGAGTCGAATTATGGGGTGGGCAATATAACGATATTTTATCGATATCGTGATAAATGATGTGACAGTATGCCTTTCTGAGCATATGGTGGATATCGTCAGTCTTGCAAACACTGACTGAATACGTTTCATACAGAGTAAGTAGAATTAGGCCTGTTTAATTGGATTAAGTGCAATGTAGTTTGTAAAACACTAAATAAAAATAATTGTAGTTATAGATTTATTTTTGTCATTATAGTATTTTTATATGTAGCACTACAGGGTCTATTTTGTCTGTTCCAACTTATTACATCTTAACAAAACTAAATATAATGATGCGTATTGTGTATATAGTACACCTCTAAGTCAAATCAACAAAGCCACTGATTGTGACTACTGTTTGTATAAAGCAAATCTTAGGGGAAATCTTTGAAGCCTGGAAACTCATCGCAGGTCACAGTGAGTTGGCCATTTTAAAAGAGCACATCTTGGTGGGGTTTCAAACCATGTCCTCAGCACCTCGTCTTTCTTGGACAGCAGGCTGCTGAACTTCTGCCATACATTTGACTCAGTGGTTACAGATGAGGATGGTGGAATAGGCCCACTATATGGGGGAAAGGCAAGCTGCTAGGTCAGTAACCTATTAGAGGAGTTAACTGGACCGTTGTTAATTTAACAGTCTATCAGCATTGACCAAGAGCAAGCAGTGTATGTGATGAACAGGGCGAGTTGATATAAATCACTGTTGTTGTTTTTCTTTAGTGTCAGACCTCAGCTATATATAACGCTCACAAATAACATAGCTGTAGTGTTCTCAACGATAGCAGTAGCCTTCTCTGCCTAAATTACAATAAAGCGCTGCTTGTGAGGCCACACGCCATAATTTGGAGAACCACAAAGTAGCAGTCCTTTGTATGCTTGGTTAACTGGACGGTTACAAGATGGGCAGGACTAGAATCACTTCTCTCTCTTTATTTGAGGTTTTGGTGCAAGGCCAGTTTTCTGTGAGAATATTCATAATGTTCTATTTCTGCTTACATTTTGAACAATAGGTTGACCAAGAGGCAAGTATAGTGTACACGTTGATGCACTAGGGCTGCAAAAAAGGCCTAAATATACTGCAGTTGTATTATGTTGTGTAGTATTGCATGGGAAAATGTACATTAGTCAGTGCATGAAAACCTAAAAACTGATCACCTGAGTTTGGATAGCTTGTTCTTGACTCACAGCATTTTCCAGTAGGATTGTATGATTTTGATCAACTAGAAGTCCTGACTGGGACAGCATATGTTGCTTTTTTCTAGGTAACTTTTTCAGCAAACAATAATTTCACACAGAAGATTTTGTAAGTTTTAATGACCTCGAGTGCTTTTTTGCAACACGGCACTCTCAGAAAAAAGGTACAAACCTGTCTCTGGGGCAGTACCCCTCTTGTCACTGGGGTGGTACCCTCAAGGGTACATCTTAGTACCTTTAGTCAGGGAACATAATTGTCCCATAATCCATTGAAAGTATATTTTCTAACTTTTACTGACTCCACACAGCCCGTCTCGTCTCCAGGCTTTTTATTTTATTGTTCTGTTTTAAAACATTAGGTTATGAAAAGATACAAATATGTACATTTCCACTGGGAAAAACCTACTTAAGGTACACACTGTTGTACCTTTGAGGGTACATATACATTGTTTGTGCCTTGAACAAAAAATGTACCTGAACAGAACCTTTATTTCTAACAGTGTGCAGAAAGCGCATACTAGGCCCACATACAAGTACAAGCAACAAGGTTCGAAAATAGACGCTGCTTATCTGGTAGTTATGTTTGGTAGCTGCATCCCCTGCTGTGTTAACCATGTTCATAGCGATTTTGTTGTCTGTGCTCATGTGGCATTTCATTGTTGGACAGCCCTTTTTTCCCCAGAAATTTATCTTCAGCTGAGACAAGTTGTGAGCAGCATGGAACTGCATTCTTCTTTCCTGTGGTATGCAGACTATGTAAAGATTACCTAACCTGCAGGAGCTACTCTGTGTTTATGATACTGTGTATTTGTCACAGTGTTAGCTGTTCTCAGTACTACGTTGTCCCGTTCTCTGCTGTGGTGCCTTTTGATGTTTGTAACTTGTTCAGTAATACCCTAGATACAGAGTTATCATTTCTGGATCAAAGTTGAACAGTCCTGTAACACTGAAGAGATCCAGATTCACCCACTGGTCAAAAAAACAGGAACATTGTGAGCTTTTTTTCCAGCTCCTTGGCTCTTGTTTAAACTGTGCAGCTTATTGGAGCATGTAAGGGCGCTTGGCTTATGCTCTGAATACATGAGACCACTGTGTGCTGGAAGCAGGGCGAGCTTTTCAATGAGCCCAATATTGCACGCTCCGTTTAGCCCAGAATGCAATTCGTAAATAAAGGCCTTTGCGAAAAGCACTGTCCAAACGTTTATCCTGAAGGACTGAGGTTTAGCTGGCCTGAGATCAGCTCTCCTGAGGAATGGGCTTTGGGTGCCATCACAATTACACACTAATTCTTTGTTTAACTCTGGTGTGTTGTTTAAACACTGTTAGCACTCGTTAATCTCTATTGACATCAGCAAGGTAATACAAATCAAAGCAGCAAAGACCATGTCTGTGTTGTAACAGACACTGATTTATGTCTTTGTTATGAATCAGTTTAGGATTTGATTTCACTAGCCTTCAGTACAGGGTTGTGGGAATGGGTTCATTCTCACAACTCTTGGGGAGTGCTTCCCTCTTTTGTGCGCCCCACCGCTCTCCTGACATCAGCAGTTTCGGGCCCATTGCTGCCGCTGAAGTCTTACCGCTGGACTGGAATTAATGTGCCGTGCTCAGTTTGTGGGGCGGTTTGCAGCTCCATCCAGCTTTTCGAAAGAATTCAAATCATTTTTTCTCCCCCAGTATAACCCACTAATTCTGCTTAGCTAATTCATTATGTCCAAGCTAGATTTAGATGCTAGATTTAGGAAATGTTCTTTGGTTTAAGGTGTGTTTAATTACTAAACCAGAAGATACAGAGGTGCATATATGCCATTTTATACAAAAAATAGGGGGGGGGGCAGGGGTGTATGTTTTTTTGCATTGGATTTTCATTTTCTTTCATTTTGTGGCACAGCAAGTCTTTCAGACTTTGGTGTTTAACAGACTTCAGATCATGCTTTGGTGATGCTCGTAGCCTGTTCTTATAAAAATGCTGTATGTTCTTACAAACATGTTAAATCTTTGTGCTCTGATAAATAGCCAGTGTCTGCTTTTGTCAGCAGTGCTATAAACCAAACAAAAATAAATTTAACATCAACGTTTTGACAAGTCTCTTCCTGCATGGTTCGTAGGAGGATATTGCTCTCTCATGGTTCATAGGAGGATATTAGGCTTACCTCTCTCCAGCCCTAGGGGACTTCTGGGCTGCCGTGTAGAACTGTCCACTGTAATAGCGCAATGTAAATCAAACTGAGCCGAATTCCTCAGCTGATCTCTATAATAACAGGGGCCTAAACCACAATGCAAATGCCACTGGCACTCACCATGTAATTACAGGGGCTATGAGGCTATTCACACGCCCATTCAAACCATTCACAGATGTTTATGGAAATTAATGTACTGTGACCACTGCGCTCACTCACAGTAAGGGACCTCCGATGGGTGTCTGTGTGCTTCAAGCAGGATTTATGCTGGCTATCAGTTACAAAAAAATGGCTAACTTTACCTGATGCTCTCTGATGCTGTTACTACTGTAGAATAGATGCTTGTTGTCCCTGTACTTTCCTCCATATCCCACATACTAACGTTAAGCTTGGATGTGGAATTCACAAAAGAGGTTTTCTTAAACCGTCCCACAAACACTCTGTCATCAGTAAGGGAATTTTCCTCCCACAAGTTTATGCTACACGAAAAAGAACTCTATAATAGAACTTGGAATTGCGTTTTTGACCCACAGATATGTAAAGAAACTGTATGTGCAGTGGCGCATCAGAGTCTTGGGAAGACTCTATATATAGTTCATATTATAATATTTTATTTCTGATTCAGGTTATATCCTCATGTGGCTGAAAAATGTAGGTGGAGTGCCTAATGATTTGCTTATTCTCTAGGCCCAGGTCTTATTCCATCATAAAGTAGGGATGGAAAACTTTTGCAGTGTACTGTACTTGTCATTGTGACCTCACTTGAGCAGGATTTAGGATGTTCCTCAATGGAGAAAACACATGGACTACAAGGCTCTATTATATATCTTTAGTTTTAAAGAAAGGTCGTGTCTGAGTTAGGGCTTGAAGGTAAATCTCAAAGCAGATATTGATACTGCAGTGATATTACAGTGTGTTTATTGACATTTTCATTGATTTATATGTCAGTAGATTTTTGTTGGAAAAATAAAGTACTGTGTGAAATTCAGAGACCACCCTTCATTTATTTAATTTCCAGTGGCCATTAAGTACAAAATATTTATTTTTTCAGCGAAGATCCAACAAAGTCCTAAAAGATACAGAGAAAATCAAACTCCTAACAACCATGCAAGAACTAGTAGACCACCATAACTGTCACCATCATAAACAGTATTGAAGGTTTCATCTTTGAGATAAAAGAGAAAATCAAGTTCCACTCTTGCTTCAGATCAGAAAAAATCCAAAGGTGTTTTTGTTTATGCATCCAATGTCTAAGACAGAACTTGTGGAAAAAATCTCTGCAGATTTCTTTGAAAAACTGAAGGCAAGTCTTCTGAAAAGAATGGCAGCTGTAATAAAGGCAAAGTGCAGACTTACTGATGTTTTTATATTGAATTTAGTCGTTAAAGCTTCTGTTTAATTTTCATTTAAATATGTGTTTTATGCTTTTTTTTTCACCAAAATTGAACTCATGAATGTTGTATGTTTTGAAAAATAAAAGAAGGGTAGTCTCTGACTTTTGCACAGCACTGTATGTTATCATAATCTGTTTATCCTAAGTTTGGAACAATTTTACTGTGGTGCTGAGAGAAAAAAATCTGATTTTCCATCAGTTATGCTAAAGTTATGCCTCACTTCATAATGCCTTACTTCATTAATGTGGCAGAGCAGTTAATATTCATGAACGTACAATGTCCCATTTCTTTTTCTTACTATTTCGTATTGATGTCTCTTTTAATGGAAGTAACATACCTCCCGTACTCTGTTTTAATTTTGCTCTGAATAACCCATGGCCTTTGAATTGTGCCAAGCCTTCATCAGATATGGCGGTGAGTCGGGCTGCTTTACTTAGAGGACAGCATGTTTGTGGTGTGGGCTCTTACAGAGGAATTTTCCACATGATTCCTCAATCCAGAGTTCATCTCTCATTCTTTACAAAGTATAGTGCAACAAAACAGCCACATTGCAAAGTTGTGACACAGTTTAGTTTTAGCACCAATGCAGAAGTATACTGATGTGTTACCCTGTTAACCAAGTGCTATGTGTCAAGTAAGACCACATGCTGCTATGAATAAATTATGCCATATGGTTTTTAAGGGGGTGGGAGGGGGCAAAGAGAGTCACTCTGTATATATGATTTATTCATGCTTTCTGGTAGCCTTGTATGGCCATCCTGAAACGCACAGGCTTTATGTTGCGGTGTAATTCTCAATACACATTAGTTTATACTTCAGTACAGTATGCTGTGAGTACATTAACTTTTATTACAGAATGGGTTCATGCCATCATGTACTTTGCATAAGAGGCAGTTGAAGTTTGGTCCATAACATAACATAAACAATAATTTTAAGTTGATTTAATATGTCTCAACCAGTATGAAATCAAACGTCAGTATTTGTAGTTCCGTGTCACACTAGATGTTCCATTTCTTTTGTTAAACCTCAGTGTTTTCCCACATAATTACTTCGTAAACTTGCCCATATCATAGATGCATACAGAATGAGAGGGCATGAAGTTGAAAATCTCTGTGCATTATGCACCCAATTCACTAAAAGCTTGTTTATGTCAAATATCTCTTTTTTCCTCCAGACTAAATGTGAAATTAGCTTTCAGAGTCAGTCATTAGACTTGGTTATAAAAGATCTATGTACAGTGTGCCCTATCTCTGTCATATCCTCAGGAGCAGTGGGGTTCAGGATACCAACATCAGACAAACCTTTCATCTGCCTGGCATTTAATCTCTGCGAATGGCAATCACAACCCAAAATAGACCACCTCATTCTCCTGCTCACGCTGGGCTTGTGATGTCGGAGACTCGAGTTGAAAGATCCTATTCATTCTCGGCAGACCTTACCCTGAGCATGTGATCCAGGGCCGGAGGGATATATTGTATTTATCAAACTAGATTGCCAATCCTTTGTGTGATGAACTGCTTCTTTTTGGGTTTTCTTTTCCCCAGGTGCTGGTGAATCAGGGAAAAGCACAATAGTTAAGCAGATGAAGTGAGTCTGTCAAACGATTAATGACGAATCTAAGAATAAGGCTTAAATCATATTACCTGCCATCACTGGTTCCAATACTTTAAACTTCATAGACAGACCAGACCTATATCACTCATTTCTGTAATGATACTTCAACCATTTTCCATTGTTCTCCTTGTAATTATTGAATAAAAAGTCATAAGATGTGGACGTCCATGAAGGGTAATATTCGTATAACCATAACATAATTGGTTTTGTCTCAGGATCATCCATGAAGATGGCTATTCAGATGAAGAGTGTAAGCAGTACAAAGTGGTGGTGTACAGCAATACAATCCAGTCCATCATTGCCATCATCAGGGCCATGGGCCGTTTAAAGATTGACTTTGGCGACCCTGCGAGAGCAGTGAGTTTTCTTGCCTTGAAACAGGAGCCTGCCATGTTGTTCCTCAGTATATGTGGTCCATTAGTGCAAGCCAAGCTACAATGCTGCTTTCTGACACTTTCCATTTGTTCTCCAGGATGATGCTCGTCAGTTATTCGTGCTGGCCGGTACAGCAGAGGAAGGGGTCATGACTTCTGAGCTGGCCGGAGTCATCCGCAGACTGTGGAAGGACGGGGGAGTCCAGAGCTGCTTTGCCAGGTCCAGAGAATACCAGCTCAATGACTCGGCCTCCTAGTAAGGGCGCGCTCCAAAACAGAAGACATCCAGCATGGTTTCATGTCAAACAATAGCTATAGTGTGGTTTACTAGGTTGCTATTTTGGTACATCAGGTTGTGATGTGCACCTTTTTTATTTGCCAGATAGGGAGGTTGAAGTCTAGCTGTTCGCTTGTAGTGGCACAAACCAGCATGACAGGAGAGTTAGCTAGCTATTTTCAGTGTTAAATTATGGAGATTAAAAAGGCTGTGAGTTTGAGGAAAACATCTCAGAACAAAAGGGTGTTGTGGCAAAAAAAGTCACATGCTATCTGTAGTGTGGAATGGGTTGGGTTTGTTTTTTTTTAACTGAAATAAACCTATGATTTCTTTAGGTTCAATATACCATTCTGATTGAGCATTAACATTAGTATTATTAATAGAGAATATGTTAGAATATATTAATATTATATATAAAACTGAGAATTACTTATTGTTCAATAACAATAGATGACAGATATATATGAAGTCTGTGTAAGAGAAAAAATAACCTTACACTATATGGTGTGGTTTGGGTTAGTTTGGTTGATGTGATGCAGCTTAACCAGTCTTGAACAGTCTTGATTAACTGCGTCCTTACAACAACAGTTTAGATTTGAAAGTTAATTGAAATGCATTGAAATATTGAACAAGAGCTGGGATCTTTTTCTATTTTTCATTTTTTTTTCGTCAAGTTGAGACATCTCCGCAGATGATAAGGAGTTGCTCAGATCGACTGAGACAAGATCGGTCTTGTTCTCAAGTGCAGCATTTTAGAATTTCAGTTTGGGAGTCTCCAGCTAGCTGCTTTAGAAGGGGAAGTGAGCTTTCAGAGCTACATTCCAGACCTCTTCTCTTTTCCTATTCATTCCCCAAAGTTCCAGTTCAACTTTGGTTTGGTTTCTTCTTGCCCTGTTTTTGGCTTTGGAATGGCCGGCAATGTTTCCAGTAATAATAATCAGGAGAGAACAGCTCTAACCACTGGGTGAATTCATACATTCTTTTACATTTACATGCCAAGTTCATCTCAGAGAGATGATGTGCTGCAGAAGCAGGAGCTAGGAACTTTCCTATTGTGAATAGCAGGTCTTTATTTTGGCAGCATTCCAGCAGAGCATTGGTCTGTGGTGAATGGTGAGATTAGGTGTTTAGCAGTCATGTCATCGGCTGAGAAGACAAGTAGCCTAACCTCTTCCTTTGCTCTCACTGTTTCCTTTTTTCCTCACTTTGTGTTCCTTTTTTCCCTTATTTATGTATTTGCAGTTACTAGAGAACTAGCTGGAGTTTTAACCTGTGCGATCATTTGCAGTAATGTGCATATTTCAAGAACAAAATATTGTTTGGCAAAAATATCATTTTTTCTCCTTGACCAAAATGTAATCATCCAAGATATATTTGATGTCTGAAGTGTGGTTCTGCAGTTTTTTACTGTAGCAACGGGGCTGTTGTGGTTAGCATGTAATGGAAATTTATACCCCACCAGTTAGTACTGTGCATGACTAAATCATCACATGCAGTAGACTCGCTTTTGTGGTTTCTGACTATCACAGACTGTTTTCTATGAAAATCGATTATCTCATAAAAGTCCACATCAGATCTAGATCAGCCGCCATTTTGAAGCTGGAATTTTATCTATCCTCTTGTGGAAAACTTGTATCTAATTTTGTGGATAATAGTTTGTCAGTGTCAGAAACCACATAAGTAAGTGTGTTTGAAAGTACTTAACAAGGCAACATGCTTTGAGCTAAGTGTGTGCTGATTTAGGCATGTTTACACAATACTAATTGGTGGTGGGTATAAGCTTCCGCTTGGTAGCTACCTTTACCTCATAGTTCTAGTGCCAAAAAAGCACACTTTAAACCCCGAACATGTCTTGGTTGACAGATGACATTTGCAGTAATGGAAAAAATATGTTAACTTGGTTTATGCCAAGCTAATTTTTCAATTTACTACCCTTACAAATTACAACTCTTTCATTCTTCTGTCTCTCTTTCTCCTCTTCCCTTCTTCCCTCTCTCTCATATCAAGCCATTGGTCCTGATCTCTTCATATCTCACCAAAATGTCAGCCCTTATTTAGTAGTTAATGTGTATTTTTTGATTTGTGAGGGATGTGATGTTTATTTTGCTTCTGAGCAAGCTGCCTTTGCCATGAGAAGGTTAAATGAGTGTTTCCATAGGATCATATTGGCTGTCTGTTCTGCCAACAGTGTTTTGATAGCAACAATTTATTTCTTTTTGAGTAGTAGTTACAAATTACTTATTGTGATGTCTTAACTTTAATTATTTTAATCATCTTCAATGACTTGAATCATTTGCCTTTTAAAACATTATATAATATGTATATTAATAAGGTTTCTAAGTGTGATCAATGTACTAAAAATGATTTCCCATCTCTCAGTTATCTAAATGATCTGGAGAGGATATCCCAGCACGGCTACATGCCCACGCAGCAAGATGTACTGAGGACTCGAGTCAAAACCACTGGCATCGTAGAGACGCACTTTACCTTCAAAGAGCTCTATTTCAAGTTAGTTAATCCTTCTTTGTTCCTAACTTTGCCTTACCTTTTGCAGCTTGTGAATGTGAACTCATGTTTATATATAAATATGCGTGTGTGTATCTGTGTGTGTGTTAACAGGATGTTTGACGTAGGTGGCCAGCGCTCTGAGAGAAAGAAGTGGATTCACTGCTTTGAGGGTGTTACAGCTATCATCTTCTGCGTGGCACTAAGTGATTATGACCTGGTGCTGGCCGAGGATGAGGAGATGGTACTGACTCCTTCCTCTAACTGTTACACCTCATTAGGGGTGGGAATCTCTAGGCACCTCACGATTCGATTCGATTACGATTCAGAGGGCTGCGATGCGATTATAAAACGATTATCGATGCATCTTTTTTTTCTATATAGCATTTATATTTTCTCACTGTGCGAGCTCAGGTTTCGAGTTCAAGTTTCAAGTTTATTTGTCACTTGCACAACATGTCAGGACATCTATGCATTGAAATGCTTGTGGTGAGGCTCAGCTAATCACTCTATAGAAAGTAAATAAGTAAAAATAAAAACAAGAAAAAACAACTGAAATATTAAATATACACAAAATATACACAGAATATAGAAATAATATACATTTTAAAGTGACTAAGTGACTCGGTGTTATTGTTATTTAAAATGACTTGGTACTTTTAAAGCAAAGTATTTGTAATGATCCATAATGCATTTACTTCCAATATCTTTTTTAATGAAACAAATGGAAGTGATGTGGTAAGTGAACTAGAAGGCTCTCATTCAGTGCTCCTGTTTGGAGCATGAGAAGTTGCTGCTACTCATCTGTGATAAAATGTGCAGTTATGGTGAAATAAGGTCCAGTGGTGATGGATGTCCACGCAGCACATGTTACAGCTATTCTACCCGTTTTCTTTAGTGATTTTATAACTTCGGTTTTGGTCTCGTTGTAGAGACGGGGGGGGTCGCTGTGTCAGTAAAGTATCTTTGAGACGGGTCATGTGCAACATAGCGCGAAAGCCCTGTTTCACAACGACTGAGAATTGCCGTGCAGACTACAGGTCACATAGCAGCGATGCGTTATTCGCATTTATAAGCACTGCAGTTGGTTTCCTGGTACATTAAATCTGCAACGAGAGACTGTCACACACTAGAAAGTGGCGAAGCTGAAGACAGCATCTCTTTCGAATTCACCTTAAATGGTGCCACAGTCACATTCGGTGCCTCAGTCAGAATTTAAGGTGGAACGGGTAAATTCGAACAAGAAGCTGGAGAATAAGACGCAACTTCAGCCTCGTAAAACGGTTGAACTTTGAGACATTTAACTGATCAACTTCTTAGGAAAGGTTTTCTGGCGGAGATGGGAGGAAAGCGGCTGTAGCTGAAGCTTGAAGCACAGCAAAGTAAATCTGCGTTTTCGTTTATATTGTTTACTCTATACTAGGACATTATAACATACTGAGACATACTGGACATTAAATGTTGCGGCTCCTGTTGCAGCGCGACTGTCCGGGCGCTGCACTTCCGCACTTCCAAGTTCCGCCTTTTGTGTTCCGTCAACATTACGTTATAAATTAAATATTTAGAAAATCAATTTTTGACATTTGTGAATCGATTCAGAATCGTGCACGTCCGCATCGCGATGCATCTAAGAATCGATTTTTTCCCGCACCCCTACACCTCATACAGCTACACTTGGCTCAAACTCACATCTAGAGTTCTTAGTCTGTTAGTTTGCAGCCTTAGTAGCTGAATGGAATGTGGACCAGCTGACAAACGCCTGATAAAATGTGGGAATTAAAACTACAGTGCACCTATAGTACAGTGTATATCTAAGACGCACTCATACATATTGCAAGGCTTATGACGAATGGTATCCCGTCATCCCAGGGATGTTGTTTAAACCATGCTGCAACCATGGGATGCTGCACGGGTTATTAACTTGCTAAATTTAATATACAATACCAATATTTAATCCAAAAACTATTTTAATTTGCTTAATAAGTAACATTTCTTCAGTAAATTTCCATTAGCCCGTTAGTGGGAATTCCTATGTAATATTAGCATCAAGCTAATGAACATTAAACATGGACATTCAAGTGACATTTTTCGCTTTGTTGGAGTTTTACAGTCTCTCTGAAGTCTAGTTGAATATGGTTGTACTATTTACAGACTGCAGTTGAGTACTTCTTGTATATAGTAAAATCTTGTAATTTAACCTTTTCAGACCCAAATTATATTCCAGGGCACAAAAGTGTGATCTTGCTTTATTCTTATTCTGAAGGTAACCATAAATGATGATAAATCAAAAAAGTGACGTTTTAAAGCATTACATATTTAGCTACAGAGCGTTTCATACAAATGATGTCATATGTAAGCACATAAATGTATTTATGGACCATAGATTTGTTTGTATGCATCATGTGTCTGCGTGTATGCACATGTGCATGTGTGCTAAGCATGTATTTTGTGTATTGCTATCTGACATTTGCTGTTTTTTTTGGGAATCTATGATGTGGTACTGCAGAAATTCAAGAAAGAAATGTGTAAACAAACATGTCCATCTGTTAATAAACACCTTTTCTGGGTATTTTTTAGTAATTACTTTGTTATTTCCATGTAAAAAAAAACAAAACATATGTTCCACGAAGAGCCAGAAAAACCAGGAAGCATTGTTAACATGTGATGTTACTCTGTTGTGAATTGCCCTTGCAATCAGGAATAATTTAGAGACGTTACTCAGCCTTTCTCTATGAAAATGTCTTTGTCTGTCTGTAGAACCGAATGCATGAGAGCATGAAGCTGTTCGACAGCATCTGCAACAACAAGTGGTTTACTGACACTTCCATCATCCTCTTCCTCAACAAGAAGGACCTGTTTGAAGAGAAGATCAGGAGGAGTCCTCTTACTATCTGCTACCCTGAGTACTGTGGTGAGTATTGGGTTTGTTACCATTTTGATTACCATTTTGAAAGTACTATAATTAAAATGATGGCAAGCCTTGGCTAGTTACAGCCAGTTTTACTTGTTCTGATTCGATGCTTTGCTCAGAATTTAAGGAGCAGTGAATTGCAAAGAAAATTACACTGACATGAACAGGCGTAATTTTCAAATAACTAAGAAGTCAATAAGTAGAATTCTGAAGTTTTTTTTTTTACTTATTCAGCATATGAAAATTATGTTGTAATGCATTGCGGTGAATTCAAAATAGAATATACTGTAATACATTGTATGTCCAGATTTTGTAGACCTCTGCTCATCCAACGTTTCTTCTGAAAACAAGGGGGTTTGCCCTGCTCCCCATCACTCCAGAGGTGCTCCATCACTCCAGAGAACGCAGTACCACTGCTGCACAGTCCAGTGCTGAGGAGCTAGCCGACACTTAGCATCATGCATGATGACCTTATGCTCATGTGAAGCTACACCAGATCCATTGGCCACATCTATTGGCAAAGCTTTTATTTGGGGACTGAACAAGCTGTGTGTGCGCTTATTGAACTACCCTTGTCAGCAGTGGGTGAACCTTAAAGTGGGTGAATTTACTAATTAGAAGAAGTGTCTGAATATATTTTTTCATAAAGTATATAGTTTCAGTATGTTACATTTTTTGCAAGTTCCAATTTGCGTTTTATACATGAATTATTTCTCTAAGCCAGGGTTAGTAGTAACTCTCAAATGAAAGTTTTCCTGTTTTAAATCCAAGGCTGCTATTGCCAGTGTGAAAGCAGACCATTTTCTATCTGAACTCCAACAAAAACGTAATAGAAGTAAATGTTAGATAAAAAGATTAAATATGGTATTAAAATCCCACGGTTTGTGCTGGAACCTGCTTGTTTAGCTCTGACATGCACTCAAACCTCAGACAGCACACTTTGGCCTCAGTCCGAATTCCTCTTCTTTCAGTCACAAATAAGTTTCTGTTATGAGCCAGTTTAGACCCACTCATTCCCTGCCTGTTAGGCCTGAAAAAATGAAGAATTATTGCTTGTTAGAACTAATAAAATAGGGGATAAATATCCGTGGTCGTGTTTTTACAGTGTAGCGGTAAAAGGCATATCCTGGGGCTGCTTCATGCTGTGGAAAAATGTCTGTTTGTGTCTGCTAGTCATCATCCTTCATCCTAGAATGGAAGCTCGTACTTGCAGTGTTTCTCCTTGGGGATGGTTTAGTATTTCACTCCATCTTTGTAAACATCAAAGATTTATTGCAGTTTACCTGTCTTGAGTGTACTTTTAAATACACTGTCAAGACAAGGAAGAACCACAGATAATTCAGGCAAGGGATGTCTACCGCTTTCTTGTGTGGTTACTTGGATGTTTAGTTCATCAGTGGAGCTATGGTCGGAATAGTAATTAGATGAATGTTATGACAGTTCAGCTGTGGGAAATGCCTTGGAGCAGATATTTCAGGTGTTTCTTTCCTTTGGCTCTTTGCCAAGACTGAAATAGCTGTCTTTCTATGTTTTAACCCTGTCATTACTCATTGTTTTCCAGGACCAGCAATACTTTGGTGCTTTATATTTTCTTCATGCTTCGCTTCTCTGATTATGACGAATCTCCTGGGTTTCTCTGGTCAGGTTCCAACACGTACGAGGAGGCAGCAGCCTACATTCAGTGCCAGTTTGAGGATCTGAACAGGCGGAAGGACACCAAGGAGATCTACACCCACTTTACCTGTGCCACGGACACCAAGAATGTGCAGTTTGTCTTTGATGCAGTCACTGACGTCATCATCAAAAACAACTTAATCGAGTGTGGACTCTACTGAAGCATCATGTTTTAGTGCCAAGGTATGCTCAACAGCTCATAGTAGCCCAGTGTTGTTGTTGTAGCTATAGCAGGTTAGTGACTAATATGAGAGAAGTAGTGTTAGACATTCAGTCGGCCAAAAAGCAGAGGAAGCTTGCACCTACTTAGACTTTAATACAGTTATGCACTTTTTTAAATATTTAAATGTTCAACCCCTTAAATACCAAAAAAACAGACAATGGGTCCACAAGTCACTTCCTCACACTTATAATTGCATAACTTACCTGTTTGTTTTATGGCAGTTACCGAATAAGTAATAGTAGTTTATGAATAACAAGCCTAGGGGGTAAATAATGTTAAATATTCATTTAAATTGAACTACAGTTTGAAAATCTACATAGATACTGTGTAATTGCAATCATTTGTTAGAACTCTGTGTGTTTTGGAATGCACTGCTGTGAGTAACACAACAGTGTATGGTCAAACACACAAAGGCTGCTGTGATATCTAATGTCATGGACAGGGTTGGAAGGATTACTTCAAAAATATATTCTGTTACAGATTATTGACTACCCCTCAAAAATGTGGATTAGGTTATTAATGTAATCTGATTACTTTCTGTTACTTTTGGATTATTTGTCTTTAATTAAAGACGTATAATTCAATAAAGAAAAGAGGAAAAATTATTTCAGCAAGTCTTTTTAACGAGATTTTAACTTAACACACACCAAACAGAAAAAAACATACTGTCTTATGAAAGAGAATGATAGATTATAGGTGACTTAAATATTGTGCCTCACAGAAACAGTCAGTGGTCTCACATTTAGGCAATCGCCCAGATCTAAGTGGAGCAATATATGGAAATATTTAAAACATAGAGATGATGAATTTGTGGAACAGTACAATTTGTTTGTTGTTGAAGTTTAGAAATCAAGCTTTGAATATACATGTCTAAACTTCAGTCTAATACTAAAAGTTCCTAGAGTAAAAATAGGGGAACAAATCAAAGGCAGTATAGTTAAAAACTGTAGTCCTATTGAGGAACCTTTCCTTATTTTTGCCCTTTTTTATTAAAGATCTGTTGTTTATCAAGCGGGGCAGCACAGTGGCGCAGTGGGTAGCGCTGTCGCCTCACAGCAAGAATGGCCTGGGTTCGATTCTTTTCTGTGTGGAGTTTGCATGTTCTCCCCGTGTCTGCGTGGGTTTCCTCCCACAGTCCAAAAACATGCAGTCAGGCTGATTGGACATGCTAAAATTACCCCTAGGTGTGTGTGTGTGTGAATGTGTATGTCTGTCTGCCCTGCGGTTGACTGGCGACCTGTCCAGGGTGTATCCTGCCTTCCGCCCAATGACAGCTGGGATAGGCTCCAGCACCCCACCGCGACCCAGAAGGATAAGCGGTTTAGATGGTGTATGTATGTATGTATGTATGTTTATCAAGCCAGAGTGAAAAGATCAATCTGGTAGAAATCTTCTTTTGAGACTCCTCATCAACAATGTAATAATAAATAGAGGTCATTTTAAAACAGCTGACTGGCCATTGTGTGTTTTATCTGCTAAAAGGCTGTATTAGTTCATAAGGTTTTTATGTTGGTGCATCGTGTTCGGACTGTGATGATGGTAATTTGTAGACGCTCCCTAATCAGCTCTCAGCAATTTCAGCAGCTTACACAAATCAACATGTTTTCTGAGTTCAAAAGGCATTAATTTCACACAAAAATTAAGTGGGAGCTGATCGTCTTAATTAGAACTAATGATAACTTACACATATTAACATTTTGCATACATCATTGCAAAACTACTGAAGAAAGAAACCATACAAGTGAAAAAACAAAACTAACTTTGCTGCTCACAAGGCTTAATTTGCTAAGTTAAAAGCCGTCATTCATTCGGAATCATACCAAAATAATCAAATCAAATAGAATTTTCTTTTTCTAAAGCATTGTAATCGAATTTAATTGTTATGAGGACACTAGGCATGTAATACCTTTCCTTTTATCACAGTTTATAACATTATTGTGATGTTGTATTCATTTAAAAAGCTACATGTTTAAAGCTTAATAACATTAAATTCATTACATTCTTAGTCTCATTTTCTGTGTAGGTGGTTAACATGTATTATATGTGCAACAAAGTATCATTAATAAAAAATTATGAACTAAAAACTCCCACATAATGATGCTCACAGCGAGTATAATTATCACAGATTATCAAGATTTTTACAATTCGGACTGGTGCTGTAAACCTCTGCACTGCAGCCCTTTTGGAGAACTGTGAAGTGTTCCACAAAATAATTCTAAAAATTTTAATTATATAATCATAAATGTGCGTTTAGTTGTGACAGTGCTTAATGTGGAAGTCTGTACTTTTTAAGTACTGTTATGATAATAAGCCACCGCTGCAATAATGCTGATTTCTACTAGAGTCTTAGTGGCATTTCCCATGTTAAATTAGCATCAAGCTAATGGTTTAATGCAACACAGATCCAGCCTTTGCACGGACGTGTACAGCTTTTAACAGATATTTAGGTAACGTATTTGTACTATCTGTGAATCTTTCAGTTAACATTTTTTTAAGCTTCACTTTGAATATTACTAGATTAGCTGTCTGCCGAGCTGCTTGGTAAACAAAACCGTGTACTTATGTAGGGTATGTTTACTGTGGTTTTGGACATCTTACTTCATATACACAGAATCTGTGACTGCAAACATACATGTTTTTGTAAAATCCTGCATTTTTCCTCCTCCATTCCAGACTGACTTGAATGTTCATCTTTTTTGAATGAGGTTCTGGGTCTGGGAAAAAAGGTTCTGGGACCTCTTCTCTCTCTGCCATGCTGTGGTTGCACGAGCTATGCATGTTTACCTGCTCTGATCTGCCTTATTATGTGATCAGATCGTGACAGCGGGGTGAAGCTGCAACTCGTTTCATGATATTACAATGACATTTGTCCTCAATAACATTACTGTGCATGTTCAATATCTCAGCATACTAAATGACCAAATACCAACACATGTTTAGAGGACAATGAATTACACCCCAGTTGTTTAGTGCTGTAGATGAGGCTTTATCTGTGAGGTCTTAGAAACCAGTTAACAGTTGGATAACTGTAACAGTGTTGTAGGTGCTGTAGTATATTCCTCTTATGTAAGGGCTCCTAATCAAAGAATTTAAATTACTGCCTCTCTTTTCCTTTTATCATTATAGTCACTGAACGTAGTGGGACTAATGGAAGCATGCCTGATTGGATGGATATCACTGGTGCTGCCTGTAGCGGACTCCAGTCAGTGGGGGACGATGACTAGATACAGACTGCTGCTACCATGCTGCATATACACCGTAGTTCTTACTGTGCATTTTGGAGAGACTCTCTTAAAACCCCACATCTGTCGGCAGTCCTTACATTTGTCTTTCTTTAATTCCTGTTGCAACGTAGTGAGGTCAAGATGGGTGAGTGTTTTCTGTTCATGTTTTAATTACCAGGTTCACTCCAGCCATTGGGTATTACAGTATACAAGGTAAATGAAGTAGTTCTATGCACGCATTGATTAAAAATCCCAAAAACAATAGATGGCATCAACATACAACATGTTCACATCTGTTAGACTGTTACCACCTTGGAAATTTGTTTTCCTTGAGATGCATCAGCTCTTTTTCTAAAAGAGGAATATCTAAGTATCATCCGCTACATAACTGTGATTTCACAGCTTTAGAGCAGAGGTTCCCAACCAACGGGCCGTGGGTTGTTTTAGTACCGTGGTGAGCACTGGGGAGGTTAGTAGCCTGACTGATAAACTCCACCATTTATTATCATTATTGTTAATGTAATTAATGTTAGTATTTTTATTTATGGTTAAGTCTTGATATTAAAAATGTCCATAAATTAACTTTTAAGGGCCTAAATCCTACCTATTACATGTATTTCCTTATTTTCTATTGATGTCCACTTGTAACATTTGTACCAGTACAAGACATTCAATTTACATGACAATTTTCCAACCTGTTTATCCCTTGGACAGCAGGTTGTTTTCATTACTGTGCCTTTAACACTGATCTGTGTAAATGATCTCTGTTCTGATTGACTGTCCTGTGTTATGCTTCGTTCAAATAGCTGTCCTCCCTGAAACAGTCTTTTTAAATTCAGTGTGAATGGCCAGGCTAAACCACTGTGGACAGAACAGATAATTTTATGTAAATGTTTTGCTTTCTGTAACATCACAAACACTGTTAATTGAAAATAGGCTGATTTTGCAGGTTAGTTCTTATATATTGTCTGTATAGACTGAGGGAGTGAACAGTACATTTTGAAACAGTAACATTGTTTTTATGTTACACCAGTTTCATTTCAGTGAAGTGAGGAAAAGTGAGTTTGCGTAATACCGGCCCTTTAAGTAATAATACATTTTTCAATATATTGAATGAGGCTATTGAGCTAATTGTTTACGTCATCATTTGTAAACAAAACATCCCCCCTGTGCACTCAGATACACCCCCACCCCCCACCCTCAATGGTATGTCAGAAGTGGTGTGGGCAGCAGTTCGGTCAGTGAAAAGGTTGGGACCCCTGCTCTAGAGCACGTCTTATTTTTTCTCAACAGTTGTATATGTAAGTTATTGATATTAAGATTCAGCTTTTAATCCTTTCATCTTTTCGAACCAGGTTTCAGTGGAACCAAAACACATTAAGCTGTGTACTTTAGCTGAGCATTTGATTCTTAATGACTGTAGCTTCAGTATTTCAGGTTTGAAGTTTGGCGTAGATTTAATGATCACTCTTATTTGCTTCATCACTAGAAAGAAAGTTGTAGCTAAGTACTTTTGCTTATTTTTGACTTTTGTTCTGTTTCTCTTTGACAAGCTAGAAATGGACCACTTTATGACAAGCATATTTTATTATTTGGTGTGTGTTCACAATAATTATGTATGGATAATTGTTAAATCAATCCAAGACTGCATGGTACTGGGACTTTAATGCGCAGACCGAGACCATTGTAATAATTATTGTAGAAAGTAATTGTGACACTTGCATGGAGGGAGAAATTTATAAGGTAATTTATTCTATTTCTTCTCTTTTTAAACTGCTGGGCCCTTTATAACCTACCTGAGCGTTTGTCAGTATCTCAGATGTGTTTAACTTGTATAAATCGTTTTTTTTATAGAAATACTCATTTTGCAAAATGGTCTAAAGTGACTCAGTTGTACTGGTTTTCTGTGCTATTACCAGTAATATTAAATATAAAATACAAAAACTAAATACTTAATAAGTTACACTTGCACAATGCCACACTAGAATTTCACAGCAAAAGCTAAAGCTTAGAATATATATTTGGAAACTGTAATTTTAAAACATTGAAGTTTTTTATTAACTATTTGAGAAGTGAACCAACTTCTATGGGATTAGTGTTATAAATGGCCCAGAAATGAAAAGGTGCACTTCACCTTTAAAGTCTTTTATTGTATGTGCTTTGTTTAATCCTGTGGATTTTTGTCCTGTAAAACATACTGACTGAACATGATTGAGTGTTTTGTAACGTGTAAGTGTTTAAACTGGGGAACATGTTCCATCATGTTATTTGATTAAGCCTGTAGCTTGCCGTCTGCTTCGCACAGGTTTACTTTTGTCCAAAGTCACATACTTAGTATAATGCAGTGCATAAAATAGTGTTATTATCCATCTTTGGAAATATGAGTCACATTTTCACAGGTGGATTTTGAGTTATTTTCCTTCACACTGCAGGTGCTTATGTTCTTCTTTGTACTGCTTGAAGACAGTTTTAAACACAGTGCTTTTTGTCTTCTTTTTCTATAATGGGCCACTAATATCTATTAAAACACTGAATTAGAAAATCCAAAGTTTGTCACAAGCTTTTTTGGCAGGTAATGATTGAGAGTGTTACGTTTAGATGAACAGGGGTTTTAGGAAAGATTCTGTCGGATTCTTGTCAGAGCTAACCAGACATGTACTTGTAGTTCACACATTCTGTGATGTGGTATCATCAAAATGGGGTATTACATTGTGCTTGGTCTATGGTAATGTTGTTGTTGTGTTATTGTTATACCTGTAACATGTAAGTATCTGGACAGAGAATTCGGAAGTATTTTCAAAGATGTTTTGGTGCCCTTGTATGCCAACCAAAACATGATTTATAGTAATTTAAATTAGGTTTAAAAAAGGGCTTCATGTGCAAAAACTGGTGACACTATAGACTAGGTAGAAATACACCTCAACCCATGTATGTTTTAATTTTGCTGTTAATAATAATAATAATAATAATAGTAATCTTCATTTATATAGTACCTTTCATACATTAAAAATGCAGCTCAAAGTGCTTCACAGTAGAAAATAAGCAAATAATAAAAATGCAACAAATAAACACAATAGCAGAAAAGGGGATATATTAATAATATCTAAAATACAAGTACAAATACAAACACAATAAAAAATACAACTAGACCAGTATTATCAGTAGCATTTAACACAGTTGTTAATATTTAATAGCATCTTGCTCAGTTTTGAAGGTCTTTTAAACCGTGTGCGGTAAAAAATAATTACTGATAATATTTTGTGTTTGAATTGAATTTGTATTTGTAAAGTGCTTTTTTGTGACTTTGGTGCATTTTTTTCTGATTATTTACATATCAGTAAAAATAACTTGATATGTAATAATAAAAAAAACTTGAAATACTTCACATTTTGTGGTGATTAGGCAGAAACAAAATGGCTTTGAACCTGTAATTATCAGTAGCATTTAAACAGCTGTAAATATTTAATAGCATCTATCTCCGTTTTTGAAGGTCTTTAAAACCTTGGGTGGTTAATAATAATTACCGATAATATTTTGTGTTGGAATTTTGTTTTTGTAAAATGCATTTTTTTCCTGATTATTTACATGTATGTATCAGTAGTCAACTAAAAATAATCTGTGCAATCTGTTTCATTTAATAAGATGACACCAACAGCCCATGGGATGGATGCAAGTCTTTATTTCGTGTTCCTACATTTATAGTCCAGAACATCTCCTCAGATTCAAAACAACGTAACAGGCCACTAGAGTATTTGTCCTTACTGACTTTCATAAATACATAGTTTCTTCATATATATTTATATGGTATCTTCTTTGAAATAGAGATTCACTCTGCTATTCTTATTTACAAAATACACTCCCCTAGTAATTTTATTCTGGGAAAAAAAAATATTTCACATTCTTTAGCATGCTGATTACACTGAAAACAAGGGTGGTTTTGTAATCTGAGTTATCACACATGCAAGTTACTTGTCACCTTTCTCAAAAGAAACTGAAATCCTAAACTGTACATTACATAAAACAAAAAAGCTGTATTGCTAGTCCAAGTAGTGTTGTCATGCAATGATGTCTCACAACCATATGGCTGCAGTTAGACTGGGGTTAAATTAGCATTTTATGTCCTTGACACACAAATGAAAATATCTGGCAGGTTTGACACTATTACAGAGGAAAGCATCTACTTGGAGTCTGTACCAGCAGCTTCAGCTTCAAAACGTCATTTTCTTCTTTTTCTTTTCAAATGCCCCTCCTAATGACTTTAAAAGCAGTTCAAACATATACAGATGATTTATTTAGCTCTACACCGGATAGATCCTTGACTGTTTGGATTGAGGATGACTTGCTGGTTCAGTATGATGGTGAATGGAAGGAGGAAGACTGAGAATATCATTTAGCTGGGAGGGACATCTGACCTCCGTGAGCCCCTTAATGTACAGGTCACTGTCATGCCATCTGTGAGTCCTCTGTCATCGCCTTGGCAGAATCACCAGAGCGATACCAGTCATTCAGGTCAAGGGTGGAAGGGTGGGGGGGATTCTAGAAGAATAGGTCGGAAATGGGAGAGAAGTTAATTTTAGTGCATTTATTTAAATTTTTGTACATTTGTTGTACGTTTATTGAGATTCTTGCTTCAAATAAGCAGAACTGTTCAAGAAGCTAGTTTTATTCTTAATTATATCCACTTGCCTTAAAAAGTGGGTATCCTTTAGAACAGACCGCAGTCCTTAAGGTTCTCTTTGATGATAATGTCTGTCACAGCATTGAACACGATTTCAACATTCTTTGTGTCGGTGGCACAGGTCATGTGCGCATAGATTTCTTTTACGCCTTTCTTCATGTTTAGGTCCTGAAACTGGGTCTTGATGTAGTTGCTGGCGTCTTCATACGTGTTTGGACCTGTGTGGGAAGACACGGTCATTTCAAAAACTACTGGCTGTGACTCAAAAGATCATGTGTTTGACCCTAATACTTCTGCCCCTGCGGAACTGTCCTTATACTTGACTAATATTAAGTTCCTTTAAAAGTGTCAGCAATGATGGAAATTCCCTGCTAGCTAAAATGCACATGGTTCAAAAACAAAAAAGCAGATAAAACTCAACAAGACAGGGATCCAAGTCCTGCTGAACGTTGTAGAAAGAGAAGTCTGTACTTGCCATCATATTCAGGGAAGCAGATGCTGAGGTGGACTTTCTTAATCTTTTCCTCAAAGAGATCTTTCTTGTTGAGAAAAAGCACAATGGAGGTTGTTGCGAAGAACCTGTGGTTGCAGATACTGTTGAATAGGTGGAGGCTCTCGTGCATGCGGTTCTGCAAATTGAATGACGAAACAGAAATGAGTTGGCGAATCCCTCCTTTCACCCTCAAAGACACAACATGTCAAAACAGGTTCAGGTGGCTTTGGCTCTGACTCAAGCCATTTTCAACGGCATAGATTGTCCTCTGCGCGAGAACATTGATTTTTCACAGAAGCGACAGTGATAACTACTTGAACTACGTTGAGGGACTGTACAGGCCCTGCTTAATCATCTCTCAGAAAGAGGCCACTTTGGGCTGGTCCCGAGCTATTCTTTCTTTGGTTCAGAGTGTGCAGTATTTGAGGCACGGGCTTTTTTTAAACGGTTCATTACAACCTCGAACTCGGACTCAATTTCTGGGGCAAGTGAAGGTACTCACCACTTCGTCGTCTTCTACCAACACCATGTCATAAGCGCTCAGAGCTCCACAGAAGATAATGCAGGTCACACCCTCAAAACAGTGAATCCATTTCTTTCTCTCAGACCTCTGACCACCCACATCGAACATCCTGAAAAGAGAGCATGGTCAGTATAATATTGCTTCTGGAAGGAGATGGGAACCAGTTAAACCAGTGGTTCCCAGTCCTGGTTGGAATACTCCCCTTTTCTTAACATTTAGGTACTTTCCTTGCTCTAACACACCAGATCTGACATATGGGGTAATTAACAAACCCCTCTTAAAAGAATGTGCTTGTGTCTGAGCAAGGAAACACTAAAATGTGTTGGCAGGGGCTACTCGAAGACCAAGTTTCGGAACCACTGTGGTAAACCTTCATGCGTTGATTTGATACTTGCAACGCTACCATTTTTATTCTTTTAGGAAACATCCCTTTAAATGCTGTCACACCAAGAAATCTGTGCCCTCAATAGTTATTCTTATGTGGCCCACCTGAAGTGCAGCTCTTTGCAGCCGAACTGCTCCTCAATGATACCAGTGGTCTTGACTCGAGACCTTAGCACGTCCTGCTCCGTGGGGAGGTAGTCAGGTTTGCAGATTCTGTCCATGTCGCTCAGGTAGCTGTAAAATATACATCTGGGTTAACTGACATAACCTTTAAACTGATGTCACTATTTCAAGGATTATATTGGTCCATGAGCTGCTTCTTTTCTGCAGTGGTCAGGATGACAGGCTTCATATGTCCAGTTTAGATATCTTTAGAAGTGACTAGCAATTAGCCAGCAATATGCAATGAGGCAGACAAATGCATAAGCATCATTATCTGATGTTAATGTAGTGGTTCCCCAACCTGGTCCTCAGGGCCCCCCTCATTTTTCCTCATTCCTCTATGTTGTTAGTTGGGTTGACGCGATTATGTATGTCTGGGCCATGAGGTCTGGGTTGGGAACCATTGTAGTATATTGAGTAAAGCTCTACGATCCAGTAGGATTGTGTTTGTTTAAGATGTAGGAGACTAGTTATTTTAAACACAGAAATAATTTTTCCCCTTTACAGGTCATTTGGCAAGTTTCAATTGTATGAGCAATGGACTGAAATGAGGACAGAATAAAAATGGGATGTATAAGTCAATATCATATTGGACTCACTAGCCAGCAGAGTCATTAAGCTGGTACTCAGATGCTCTTTCAAAGGCAGCCTGCACCCCTGAGTCCTTCCACAGCCTCTTGATAACGTCTGCCAGTTCAGGGGGCATGGCGCCGTCCTCGGTGGAGTCCGCCAGGTTCTGCAGCTTCTGACCATCTTCCTACACAATGAAAGGGAAAGGGGGAGACATGAAACCATTGCATGCAAGGTTGTTATTTTTTATGTTATTCTATGGCCGTGCTAGCAATATGTGTTTATCTCTTTGTCAGTGTTGCACTATTTTGCGCCCTGTGCTTGCTGTGATATTGTGCTGTTTGCTTGTAAATGTCTGGAGATGCAAACCTGTGCTGATGGTAATCCGTAGTTGATGCCCAGCATCTCCATGCCTCTAATGAGGGCCAGAGCTGACTGCAGGATGTTACCATAGATGATAGCTTTAAACGCTATTTGTTCTTCTTTCGTATAACCACCTTGATGCAGAATTCTGTAGAAGAGCAAACAAGAGTGTAAAGGTGTTCTTGGAACAAAACCTTGTATCTCCAAAAAAGTCATTAACAAGAAAAATGGATGAACGGGTTACTCTTGTGAACATGACAAATACTGGGACCCAACTTGGAAAAATTTAAATGACTAAAATGTAATGTTTTCTTTTTTCGGAAATGAAAACAGTGATGTCTGGTTGAAAAGTTAAAAAATAAACCTGAATGATTTAATTTATAACATCTTTCAATTTTTGTGACCACATTTCTATTACCACAACACAGCAAGGTTTGAAGACAAATCTGTAAATAATGCATTTTTAAAAATGCAGGTAACTTTTTTTTTTTTTAACAATCTGTATACTGTATGTTTCTAAGCTAATTATTGATTATATATATATATATTTGTCACTTCCCTTGTGTGAATAATTCTTCTTATCACATCACATAGCGTAAACTTATTTACTGCCGTCTGGTGGCGGCAGATAAATATTACAAAGCTTCAGCTTTTGTTATGTTTTTTGATATAATAATAGTAAATCAGAACAGAATGTGAAAGCATGGACTGTACTATACAATAAATAGAATTTGCTTATAAATGTACCTATAAAAGTATATAAGAAGTGTATTTTATTTTACAAGTCTATACTATTATCTTTTCGTTTCAGCACTACTTCAGTAAATGTACTCACTTCATCTGCTTTACAATGGTGCTCTTCCCTGACTCACCAGCACCTGCGTACAGAAAATCAGATAATGAAGAAGAATCAAACCACAGTGTAAGGTCAGAATAATCTTCTTTTTTCCAAGTCATGGCTGACCTCTGACCTCTTAATATGTAGTCTGAACTGTTTTGCGTAAATGATTGTACACCTAAATGTACAGTCTTTTACTTCCATCGTCATGAACATTCAGTTCACAACAATGACCATTTTAAGGTCAGCATTAATTGGTCGGTAAGCCTTTAAAGGAAGCACCTTTGGATTGCCAGTGATGTTTAGGTCAGGAGGAAGACTCGTAACCTGCTTATTAAATGACCTAATTGGATTTGTGGTACTGAAAGCATCTCAAGAGATCACTGACTTTCTGATTCTTTTGGGTGTCGCTGTCAGGCCAGGTCAGGGGCGGGACTGCAGCGTCTCCCGGGCATCAGTCATTCTAAAATGACTTCTTGAGTGAACGGCAGCCTTGGTGATATGCTAAGTGGACCTGCGTCATCGCTGGTGCCATTCTGATTGCTCATCGGCTTAGTTCATTGTCCAGATTAGCTGGGGAACGGCTTCATACTACCTGACTTTCACACTCAAAGACCAGTTACTGCTGCTCTTTACAGATTCTTAGTAGAGAAAGAAATTGGTGCTATGAAGTCGACATATATTGGAAAGACTTAGTTTGAAACCAAAGACAGCCACACAAATCCCATGTGAGCTTTGTTGTGTGTTTAGTCTGCAAGGCTTAATTTCATCTTCTAATTAGTGAACATATATTGACGTGTACAACTACTGGACAATGTTTTTTCTCCAATTTATTCCAAGCACCATCCCCCTCTTTTTTGTAAGACTTTGTAAGATTTTTTAACTTTTTATACAATAAGGGCTTTCACAGTTATAAGGTACGCTATACACATTTGCACAGTGCCAGTGAAATGGAGCTCAAAGGGGATTATAAGGGCAAGAGGACGTATAGGGAAAAACAGGTAAAGCCTGACCTTATGGCTATCTTCCCAGCATACGCTCTTCCTTTTATAAGAGTCTATGTACTGACCATTAATTAATGTTTTGCCATTTTAATGTAGACCAATATCTAAATAATAAAAGGGTGCCAGAAGGGATTCTGCCAAAGAACAACCACTTTCAGTTTCCTGAAGAACCATGTTTGAAAAAGAGATTTGTGAACCTTTTTATATGCATAATATAAATGTTCTTTCTAGAACCTTTAACTTTAAAAAGGTTATTCCCCCTCCCACATCTCCTTTACAAATATGGCTCTCTAATGAACCACCTATTGAAAGATTTTTCAGGGAACCCAAAGTGATTCTTCTATGCCATCGCACAAAGAACCCTTTAGGCACCTTTTTTCAGGCCAGCTTTCTACATGCATCATCCTTTTTGTATTTTCAGACATTTGTAGTTGGCAAACTGACCAATAAGTTGATAAACTGGCCGAGTTATAATTATGAACAACAGGAGTAATAACGGTCACTGGTCCCATGTTTAACACTGGACTTCTGTGAGACCGGCTGAACAGAAGCTTAAGAGGATCTTGGCTTAAATCATCAGAGTAATCGGATTCTGTTCTCACTGACAAAATGTCATGGGCCTTCAGGTTGCGATCTTTTAAGCAGACATCAGTGTGGAGTGTTTGTAAAGACGAATGAAAAAAACTACAGCACAGGACCCTCAATTCAGTCGAACTATCAAGCATATGTGAATCCACAAATCACAACATTAAGTTGAATGAATCAGTAATGAATAATGAACACTGGTAAACTTAAGTAGTACACTGCCATTTACGTGAATACAATCAGTGTATATTAATTGATATAAACATTTTTTTAATAATTTAGTGTAAAAATATGTTTGGGTAATTAGCTCAACTATAATTACCTTAACTATTGTGTTGATGCATAGTGAGCCATAAGAGCTTTTTTTTATGAGCCACTATGCACCTCTTTGGTTACACAATATTTATCTCCTGTAAAACCCTGAAAGCTTCTAATCCTCTGGTAGAATTATGAAATATTCCAGGCAAGTAAAACCTCTGCCTGCCCTCTTTTAATTGTAGTGATTTTTTTTCCTCACAGCAATATCTGTAGCACCATGTGCTGGAGGAACAGAATCATTATGGTAATTAATGTTATGCATTGTTATACTCATGAGATAACCGTGCTAGTAACAGATCCTCTCTCAAAATGCCAAATGTGAGTAATAATATGTGAAAATTAGGTGACATCTGGTTGTTTTAAATCCTTACTGAAAGCAGATTGCACTGCTTACGAATTGTTTAAGCCCCAGTCTGTGCCACTAGTGCATCTTTAGCTGAAGCTTCAAGATACTGATTAAGCCAAGAGTAAAGTATGCTTGTTCCTGGGGGATGTCCAGTGAAAATTATACAAGGTCCAGGACTAAGATTAGTGGCTTTGTGCGTGCAAAATGGATACTTGTTAAAGTGAAATATCTCCATTCAATTTGTGTTGTATCAGTGAACTCAGTACAACTTACTTAATCAGACTAGACCAAATTGTTACAGAACTTCTCCTCCATTAGCATTTCATAAAATCAGTTTAGAGAACACAAGCCAAACAGCCAAAAACTCTTTGTTCTTTGTTCATCTATCTAAGCATTGCTCACGCTGATGAGGATGTTTCACTGAGAAGATAACATCAAGCAGATGTGTAAAAGACTGCAAAGCCTAATTTTCCTTTCTGCAAGTGTTCAGATGGTATGCAGATCTTTAGAAGATCTGTCGGCTACTGAAGTTCAGACTGTTTCTGATCTCTTGCAGCTCCGACTTCACGAGAGAATCTCTAATCACAGTCCTAATGGACATCAAAGTGACAAGAGTCTTGCTAATGACTGGAGCGCTTACCCAGCAGCAGGAGCTTGACTGTCTTTGCTTCCTTATCTGCATCTTCCTGGAGCTGCTTTTCCAGCTCTTTGGACCTCTTGGCCATTTCTTTATCCTCAGCACTTGCTCCGCTACCCATGTTTCTTCCTCTTCCCCTTCCCTGTCAAACTCCTGAAGGTTAGAAATTTTGCCGGCTTCCCCTGCGCTTTTGCGGGCGGCAAAATGGAAATGAATACGGTGCTCCTGATCACCTGGTCTAGGGAGGGTTCTGCAGAGTGTCCGTAAACTTGCTTTAGGTGAGGCTGATGTGCCCCGACTCTCCTCAAGGCGAACAATCAGATGGAGAGTGCTGAAACGCCAAAAGCGAACTGCAGGTCTATCCTCTCTAATTCCTCCCTGTCAAGCCTAATGCCTTAGTTCAGGATTGGGGAGGGTTTTACTGATCTTCCTGTGTGAACCAGCCAATCCAATTAGCTTGGCTAACCAGGGCATAAGTGAAGGTTTTAAAATAAGGAAAACCAGCATGTCCTGTATCACTGATATTGTGGGAGACCTTGCACCCGACATGTTAGATGGTTGTTGTTAGCTTTTATAGGCCAAAGATAACTATGGAGATGGTCGTCTTTCAACAAGCATATGCATGGATCTCTGAATCCAATTATGTCAGATCTACACTTTCGTCAAGACAGAACCCTGTAATTCTAAGTCTCATGGAGGTTAATGCAAGTGCAGAACCACAATGTTCTGCGCAAGTTGTGTGTGATAGTGTGTTTTCTGCAGGTATAAGGTTGGAAGATGGAGGCATTGGTCTTGAATACTGGGTTGACCAATGTGGTGGTAAAGAGGTCATGTTCAGGATGTCCTTATCCTAACCCTCTCATGTGAACTAAAGGAGATTATGCCTTTGGGGTGGGCAGTAAGAGGATATTTATAGGTAACATGTTATATTATATCATATTACATCACAATATTCTTTTCTGAGTATATCTTAGATATTGTCAGTGCTTAAGGAACCCTGACTAACATGTTGCATTGCAAAGAAAGCCTAATTAGGCCTTTTTAATTTGATTTAATACAGTGCAGTATGTGAAACTTTAAATAAAAGTCATTGTTTTTGATATTTTTGGAATGTGGATCTTTTTTGTCTGTTCCAACTTATCAAACTTCAAAAATTAAATATGAAAATATCTTGAAATTTGAAGTTTTGTGATGTATACTTGCCATATCACTCATGCCTATTACTTTCTGTTTTACACGGAAGCAATAAATATGGGAAATGCTATCACTCTTCTCTCATAAAGGCCAACTTGCAACTGTAGATTTGTGCTAGTGCCATAATTTGTATTGTATTATTAAAAACGTGATCACTCTGACTAAATTATTTGGCTTAGCTCAGATTCAGAAAGGCGTCAAGGTGAAGGCATGAAAGGTATTTTTTGTATGTGTATATGATGTGTGTACCGCTGCCCCCTTTAAATATATACACACACACACACCCTGCAAGGAATTAGGCTCATGGGTTATGTAACCTTATACATGGAGGGCAAATGGATAGGTTAGTGGGTCTCGTTTTCTAGCATTACAGCTACCGCATTAGTGTTTCGCTCACTGACTGATGCAGTGCTTAGACCAGCAATGGTAATTCTGATTATTCAGGTACTCTGTGCACCTGTTCCCATTTCTGTATGGAAAATGTTCCTACTGTTTTGGCGAAAGTGAGTAAGAAAGCAAGGAAATGCTTTATTTCAGTTCCATGCAGAACTCAGTGGCCACCATTTAATTAATGTCCAGTGAAACGGTTAAAGGTTATTCATTTTCAGCATTAGGAAGGGGGAAAAAAGCAGAATACAGAAGTTACACACAATATAAAATAAAATGTTCAGTATTTATTGTCACCACTCATTGCCTTCTTTACAGCTTTCATTCTTTACAGGAGACTTGCTTTCAGTTTTAAAGAAATCTCTAGGGATAATTTCCACACCTCCAAGTTTCAGTCTTAGAAGTTGGTTGTGTTTTCTGCTTGTAGTCCCAAACATATTCAATGACTTTAACACCTGGTGTCCAGAAAACAATGGCTTTTCACTTAATTTGACTTTTGCCTTCCTTATGCATGTATCTTATATCTAATTTTGTCAGAAACATCACCTGGAAAAATGAATAACTTGTACTTAGCGGCTGTTTTGACAGAAAATTAATTAAAAAAGGGAAGTCTCTGACTTTTGCACAGTATTATAAGTTGCAGTCCCACTGTAGGGATTTTTTCCTCTTCTTTTTTTCCTTTCTTTTTAGTAAGGGCCTCCTATGTTGAACTAGGTAGGGACATCAGGTGTTTTTCACCCTTCACTGGTGATGAAGGGTGACATCAGATTGTAGCACTAACTGAAAGCTTGTTTTAGGGTGGTAATCAGGCTACATTCATTTAAAATGTAATATATATTTATTTATACAGCTTTAGATATGCTGAGATACTTTTAGCCACCAGCTTCTTGTATGGCACACAATCAGATGCTACTGTTTAGGGTGTAAATGTATTTCTTGGCCCTGGTGTTGTGTAGTTTCTTGATCCATTCAATTTAAGCCAGGTTGCATTATTTGTAACAAGACAAGGCTTCATGTAATGATATCAGTTTTGAGAGCAAACTGTTGAGCAAATTTTGTGGTGCTGCAGACTTTCACACAATCATAGTCAGCTACAACATGCAGTGATATTAGAATGTCTGATATGTTATGCAGTCAAGGATATTTGAGAAAACAAAATTGGCCTAAATTGTGTCATTATTGTGTTATTAATTATATAGTTCTACTACAGATTAAGTACTTCATGTTCTGATGGAAAAATGGTGTCCTGACATTAAAGCTTTGATTGGAGAGTCTCTCAAGTGATTGTCTGCCAATGCCTAAAAACAGAATAGCACACATTGACCACATGCTGGGAATAGAATAGCAAATTATCTCAGGTTACAGCTTTTCCCTTGATATATATCAATTACGACACCCATAGCTGTCAAGGAGCTTTCTCCCTTGAGTTTGGAGTCACCTATCCCTTTTTTCTGTGGGCAGTAGCTTGAAGTCAGGAGAGCACTGACAGTGAGATTTAAAGCGACGTCACTTTCTGTAAGCAGATAGTCTTATTGCTTGTGACAGCTTGCAAGAGACTCAAATCCCTAAATGCTTCACAGGGGAATATAGCAAACTAACCATGGTATCCCTCTCTTCCTCACAGCCAATCTTGTTAAGGTCTCTCTGCCCCAGCCCCGCCTCTCGCACCACATCATGGCTGCTGAGCTGTTGACAAGATTAGCTGCCGAGTCCCACATAGAGGAAGGAAGAGCCAAAGAGGCTAATTATGATGGCAGATGGTTCTTTGCTACCTTCCTCGTTTTGGATGAGAGTGTAGGAAGGGGCTGTAGCTTTGAGAAGTGGAAAAATGGAGGGAGCAGAACATAGATCTCAGCAAGCTGTGTTACAGCTCAGCACAGAACATTGCCCTTTTAGGTCAGCCAAGATCCAGGACTTTCTGGGGCTTTTGTTTGCTCTCTTAAATGCTGGGCAGGTGACCGGCTCTATAGAGCTTCTGCAGTCTTTCAAACTGCATTTCAAATGGTGCTTATTGTAGAAGCAAGAAACAATATCTAGTGTCTTCTGAGTTCTTTTTCAGTAGAAATACAGTGCTGTACAAAAGTCAAACACCATCCTTCATTCATTTAATTCCCAACCAAAATGGCCTTTAAGCGCAAGTTTTTTTTTCAGCATCAGGAAAAAAAGCAGAAAACATTTCTTTAATAGAAAATTACACAGATACCTCAACAACTAAGTATTCACCACCCCCCAGTTTTAATTGTGTCTACTCTTTGCCTCGATAGCAGATTCCTTTCTTCCTGTTCTTCCATTTCAAAGAACTCTGCATAGATATTTTTCCACATTTCTTAAGTTCAGTCTTAGAAATTGATTGCATTTTTTGATTATCACAATCCAAGTAGTCCCAAACACATTCAGTGATGTTGAGGTCTGGACTCTGGGGTGACCAGTTCATTATTTTGAGAACACCAGCAGCTTTTTCCTTTGTTTTGCAAATTTTCTTCTTTATGGTTTATTTCTTGCCTGCTGTTATTTCACTTATTTTCTTCTGACTTTCCTCTTGCATTATCTTATATCTACTATCCTCAAAAGTATCTCCTGAAAAAGGAATAACGTACATAATGGCTGATTGGACTCAAAATTAAGTAAATGAAGGGTGGTCTTCGACTTTTGCTTAGCATTGTATATGTATTTGATGGGAATGCATTGACACCATTTTTTCAAACCACGTACCAGTACACATTTTTAGTACTCACTGATGCTGAGTCCAATACCATACTAAGTAACCTTCTTAGGTTCAATTGTTCAGGTTCAAGTGTAAATGAGTGCAGTGTACCTTAACAATTACATCATGGAAAGCTTGCTGATTTTAAATGATGCAAATTAGCTAGCTATGTTACATTAGTTGCCTTGGATCGGGTAGCCCTGCAGTTCCTTATCAGTAAAGTGCTTCTGTACAGCTGTAAGTAAAGTATGTTTCATAGTTTTGAACCCTGATCTGTCTCTTTCAACAACAGTCTATGTTGCACAGTGACAGCAGGAATCACATCCGAGGCACATCTGAAGAGCTCGGTTGTGGAGTTTTACGACTTTTGTTTGGCTGGTTGAGCTGTAGTTACATGTCCTCTAAAGCCAGACATATACTGTGTGATTTTAGAAGTCTTGTTCTTTGGTGACTCACACTGTATTTTTGAGTAGACCATCATGTGTGGACAAAGCATTTATATATACTAATGCTATACGAAAACGCTCCGTCCATACTGCGTGAAACACAGCCTCTAAACACAACTCTGTCCATGAACAATTTAAAATAAGGCTGTTTCATTCAAAATAACACTACGCACTGAGTACTGAGCATAGAGAAACTGAGCAGTGTTGCTAACACTGTGCAAAAAGCTAGGCGTGGATGTACAGCGTAGGACAATATGGTCTCTCTACAGCCTATTTTACAAAAAAAATCACTGTATTAACGTTTATACTATGCTATACTGTTCAATCAAACAGAGTAAAGTTGGCATATATGGACTTTGGTAGGAAATGTCGACTTTTTGCCCTGTTTTTCTAGCCTACATGTCTCCACCCGTATTGGGCAAGCAGATGTGGTCGTGTGTTTAAAAACTTGAGAAAATCACACAGTGTAAGTCTGGAGGGAATAAGCCAGGGCAGAATGTTTAAAAGGACCAGCAACTTTGTGTCCAACCTCCACAGAGTCAGTAACACTTCTCTGTGTGAGCAGATCCTCCTTCACTGCCAGCTTAAGTCGTTTGTTCATTAGCGCGGCAGTGTACACTCGGCTTATGTCACAGCTGGTATCAGTGGGTATTGTATTGTTGGTATTGGTGAATTTTTATAAGTATGAGAAAATCAGCACAGTATCAGCACTACCCGATACCAGTATTGGTATTGATGCATCCCTAGTATTTTTGATTAGACACTTTCTGTCCACGCATTGTGTTTTGGAGAATAGGCCTATAACTTAATGCAGTACACTGTGTACTCATTCATAATAGAACACTACATTAATATGACTAGTGCACACTCATTATTAACAACACACTATTATTAACAACCATGCAAAGAATTTTTAAAAATAATTCATTTTTATGCCTCAAGGATTGAAGTATTGAAAAAGATTGCTGGCACATTATCATTTTTATGAGTTTGCATCTCAGTTGAAGTCAAATACAATAGACCCTGCTGTAACTAGATGCAACCCTGATTAACCCCATAACTTTGAATGGCCTGAAAGTAGAGCTCTGAGCAGGTTTATTAAAGCCATTGGTTATGTAGATTTATCAGATTAGGTCTCAAGTTTCTGAGTGAGTGAATGTGCCTTTACAAATTATTCTGCTGCAGCAACACTATGTGCTCAGGGACCTCTATTAGCTGTTACTGTTCCTGCCAAAAATGAACTACCGTCGTAGCAATCTGTGGGTTTGGCTCTTTATTTCACTGTAATGTATCATGTATGAAATGTTTCACCCTCAAGCTTAGAATCTTGGAGGCATGGTTGAAGCTAAAGAGTCTGTGATGAAAATGAGAGGTAAAGAGATGATGGTCTTTGCATAGACTGCACATTAAGACCTGTTACACTACAAATGTACAAATCGATCTCTCTTATTCCACTCCTTTCCCTTTACATCTTCCACAAGAGGGAGCCACAGCTTCAGCAGCACTGCATATTTATAACTGCACACATATTTGTTTCTCAGTGAGTAAACTGTTGGGTCAGAAGTGTCTGTGTCTCAGAACTTTGCCGTTTAAAGATTTTTTTTTTTTCATTTTCCTGCACGTTTTCATTTACGATATTTTCTGCGATTTTACCCACTTTTAACAGCATTTGCTCGCAGACATACCCCAACCTGCCACTTCATTAAGTAAACCTGCTTGTATCTACACTTTTTGTCCATTTTGTCAGGTCAGTTCACCATATAGGAACACTTTGTAGTTCTACAATTACAGACTGTAGTCCATCTGTTTCTCTGCATACTTTGTTAGCCCCCTTTTACCCTGTTCTTCAGTGCTCAGGATCCCCACAGGACAAGAGCAGGTATTATTTGGGTGGTTGAACATTCACAGCACTGCAGTGGTGGTGGTGTGTTAGTGTGTGTTGCACTGATATGAGTGGATCAGACACAGCAGTACTGCTGGAGTTTTTAAACACCTCAGTGTCACTGCTGGACTGAGAAGAGTCCAGCAACCAAAAATATCCAGCCAGCAGGGTCCTGTAGGCATCATCCTGTGACCTCTGATGAAGAACTAGAGGGTGAGTAACACAAACTGTGCAGCAGGAAATGAGCTATTGTCTCTTACTTTACATCTACAAGGTGGACCAACAAGGTAGTAGTGTCTAATAGGGTGGACAGTGAGTGGACACAGTGTTTAAAAAATCTAGCAGCACTGCTGTGTCTGATCCACTCGTACCAGTGCAACAGACACTAACACACCACCACATCAGTGTCACTGCACCAACCAAATAATGTTTGCTCTGTGTTGGTCCTGTGAGGGTCCTGAGCACTCAAGAACACGGTAAAAGGCTAACAAAGTATGCAGAGAAACAGATGGACTACAGTCTGTAATTGTAGAACTGGTATGTGGTCCTGATAAAATGGACAATGAGTGTAGATACAAGGAGGTAAACTTAATTAGGTGGCCAGTCAGTGGTCAGTGTATAATGTTTCTCATATCACATCATCAAGTAAATTCCAACTTTCATAGATACCGTTAAGTGCCTGGTTTTCTTTACATTGCCTGGTGAAGCTCGTTCTCCCTCTGGTCCTGGAACTGAATGCTAATTCTCACGCTCTTGGCCCAGCCATGTTTTTTCAGCCAGTCTGTCACTGCCACTGGCTGTCCAATCAGACACAAGTGAGAATAATGCCTTTGTTCAGCCCTTGCTAAACACAACCAGAGAGATTCTATATGTGCTGGCATCTGCATATCTCTGATCTTCCCCCTCTGAGGCTCACAGCACAAAAAGACCTAACTGCCAGTGTCAGCAGTGGTCCTCCAAGTCATGTCAATGACCAAACAATTCAATGTATTTATCCTTTTCACCCTTAACTCTTCAAACTGATGCCTTATATATATATCACTGGTCACTTTATTCTGTACACCCATCTTGTATCTACACTCATTGTCCATTTACTTACCATATAGGTGCACTTTGTATTTCTACAAGTCCACACAAGTCCATCTGTTTTCCGGCATTGTTTGTTAGCTTGTCTTTCCTATTATTCATCCTTTGTCAGGATTGGCAGAGGACCATTACTGAGCAGGTATTGTTTGGGTGGTAGATCATTCTCAGCACTGCAGTGACACTGACATGGTATTGACATGTGTGTTGCACAATACTGGGGGTACATTGTGATGCATTTCAGTAATGTAATACTTTCTGTAATTAGAGTTTCAATTCTTATAGTCATATTAGTTAGTGACTTTCCCCATTTGCTAACTCATTTGCAGTGGACGAGATGTAAAATAATTTCGAGGGGACGGTGGCTTTGATTAGCTCTACAGTCATCAATTCTTTGTAGTTTCTGGTAAAACAGCTGTCTAACCTAACCATCCTTTATCCTCAAAAAAACTGTAAGACATGAGCTACTCAGTACTGCTCACTATATGGAAGCTTTATTGGGGCTTCTTGATGTTTAATAAGCATCTTATTCCCTCTAACAAAACTCTCCACAGCTATTACCAATCAATATTTCAAATGTCAGGCATGATGTTAACACATATCACTGTAGCATTAGCAACACTTCTGGCGATAATTAATTAGCTTAGCAATTCTCATTTTGGAGATGCAGTTGGCAGAGCTGCCTTTTTATATTATTTTTACCTTTTGTTTAAAGATTATGAGGGCCGATGTTCAGTTTTATTAACATTTATTAATATTTTTCAACTCTGCTTATCATACCTCTTTTTCTTTGTAAAGAGTCCTCAGACCTTGCTGTATTTTACCGTTACCTGCAGCAGCCAGGGTTGCCAGGTCTGTCAAAAATCTCCAGCTGAAGGATTGCTTAAAGGCTGCCCAGAACCTGTACAATTTTCACCTGCAACAGCATTTTCAAACTAGCCCAATTTTGCGGGAAAAACATGATCTTCGCAACCTTGATGTTGAGTGCTCTTACTGCACCAAACACTTCTCAGCATGAGCAATGAAAAGTGAAAGTGCTCGACTCTACATAACCACCTCTTCTGTAGGTGCACGCTTGCTCTGCCCTGATCAGAACTCAGGTACAGATAATGGAGATGGTAAGAGATATCACATTAATACAAAGAGCACAGAAAAGGGTGGGAAGGTTTTTTTTTTTTGGTTTTTTTTTATCAGGGGGCTGGCATCACACTTTTAATTACGTACATTGTATAAAGAGCATAGATTACTCAACCTGGCATGTTTCATGTCATGTGTGTGAATGCTAGAAGACTAGGAATACACACAGCGCTGGATGCCTGCCTGTGCACCAAACCAGCCAGTAAGAACAGTAATTCTGTTCTTATCGGTTGCGGCTCAAATCAAATGCCATCCACCACAAACTCAGCGAGTCAGGCCGTCTCTTTTGGCCGACTAATTTGTACGGTCAGCTCTTTGCCAGCGTCCTGCTATGTGTGTTTGCAGTCAAGGAAATGTTCACCCTCACGTCCTCCCGCATGACCTCACTGTCACTGGTGAGACTGACTCTGAGAGTGTTGCTGTCAGCCTTGTTGCTTCTGTGCTCTCATACTCACCTCCTGCTCTCGTACTCATCTACTGCTCAAAAGCCAGCAAGCCTACTACCACTCGCAGTAGCATTCTAATTCAGGGTGGTTTGTACAACCTGATTCGGTGGTTGCCAAGGAAACAGGGGAGTGACAGCATGCCTGCAGCATGCGCCAGCCTTTGAGTGGGTGAAGGGAGGCGGGGGAGGAGCCAGTGCCCCTCCACAACACTGGAATAGGGGGGACTCTCTCTCATTCTGGAACACCCCCACCCCCCCCTTTACTGCATTGAAATCCCCTGCGGACTCTCTCTCTCTCCCTCTCTCCTTCTGTTCCTCTCTTGCTGAGGATTCCTCTGTGCCTGCTGACCAACATCTCAGCCGTCTCCGTACAAACACAGGGCAAAATGTCGTCGAAGCTGCCCCCAGGTAAACAGAAACCCACGTCCCCCTTCAGAAAGAGGGGAAGCCTGCAGTACACCGCCAGCGCAGGTAAGATTCACCACTGACTGATTGCATTTAAGGGATGCTTTTTACACAGCTGCATGGATTTCTGGACATGTATTTCATAAGAAGTCTGAATGCATGAGTACAGTTTGTATGTAGAGACCCAGAACAGGAACTATTGTTATTTTGCATGTAAGAATTTAGAATAAGTAAGCATGTAAGGGTGCTGTGTGCTGGCAAAGTCACAGCGGGCCCTGTCTATGGAGTTTAGCATGACAGAGAACAGACCTGTTGATTAGTGCAAAAGATGGGCTCTACTGAGGAGGAAAATACTATCTGGTCCATTAAGAATGGTCCCTGCACTGTCTCTACTGAGGAAAATAGCAACATAATCAAGTCAACAAGCAGACAAAACCAAATGTGGCTACCACAATGTGTTGTAAATGTTTTCCTGAGAGAGCTTTCACAAATGGTTGTGTATGGTGAGCAGCTCCTGGTAGAAATGCAAGAGTTCCTGCTCTTATCTATACCTTTTCAGGTGCTGACGTGATCTAAATCATACCACCATGAATGCCTCATTTTTGACATGCACTTTCATGCTTAATGTGATTGCCAGAAACACATAGGTTTGTCATACATGGGTTCTCAGATGTTCATTGAAAATACCTTATAAATCCTAACCTGGTCTACTAAACATTATATACAAAGATCCTCAACTGGTCAAGTAAGCATTACACAAGGTTTACATAAGATACAGTCCCCCAAGCCCTCTTTTTAGTAAGAGGAGAAGAGAAAGGTTACATATTTACCGTTTTTGTAGTTTCTTACACCAGTTAAGCATCAAAAATTCTAACATTTCTTAGAACATAGACATACAGAACTACACTTTATAATTTACTTCATGCTGTAAAATGTAGTAACTACTGCCCTTGTTCTCAAAACATGAAGATATGCTATGGGGTCTGTTCTCTTCCGTAGGTAAGTCTGAAAGTGTATTAGGCTGAGCAGCATGTTTGTCTGGGTACGTTCGTATTCGTGAGCAAAATTGCCTGCAGCCCTGAGGCGTGAATTATCTGATCACGCTGCAGTGCTGGTAAAGAGGTGGAGTGATTATCTAAGCCACGACACAGAGCAGGTGCCTCATTTTCGCACTCTGAAGAAGACTAAATCTGCTGATTCGAATTGATTATGGTGATGCTGAGCAAATTGTTTTTTTGTTCTGCATTACTGAAAAGATAAATGCTGAGAAGAAAACAGAATGGTAACACTTAAACACTGCTACATAACAGTGACATAACCATGCCATAAAAATCTCATGGCAGCTCTCGTGTGTTTTCAGATTAACAAATTATATCCACTAACATAACAATGTTATGTTACCATTGACATAATTGTCATATGTCAATGTTTGATGTCATGACAGCTAACTATAGTACATTTAGCACAAATTAGACACAAGCTGTCACAGCATCCAAGGATGGACTACTGACCAGGGCACAGCGGAGCGCCGAGGGCCCTGGAGTGTCTCAGACCACAACACTAGAGGGGGCCCAAATACTTTGGACCATCCACTGCAGATTAGATGAACAAATAGCCCTTAGACAAAATATACATAACCATGGAATATTGTTTAATATCATCTTTCAGGTCTTTTTGTTTGTTTGCTTATTGTTTTTTTAAGGTTGGAGTGTGGGGGGCCTCGCAAGACCACAATCAGTCCCTGACATTTTGGCATATGTCATGACAATTACCAGTAATTGGAATTGACACTGTTAACAGCTCATGACAGCATATGATAGCTGCCAAGGCATGTTTATGGCATGGTCATTTCAGTGTTATGTAGAAGGGTTCAAGTATAGTGTTACCGAAAAAATACTTTGAGCCTTCACAGCTTCACAGAGTTCATCAAATATTATAAACCAAAAAAATCTGCTCACACCTCAAAATGCCTAGAAACTGTTTAGAGAAACACTTAGGCAATCAACGCCCACTGAACAATCAACAATGAAGCACTGATTACTGCGTAGGAGGTTCCTCCCGAATGTGTGATTACAGCATGGCCAGCCTGACAGCGTAATGGCCTCACAACTGTCTATGGAGCAAATACAAAGTGAATCACACGACTGAAATGAGGAACAAGGTAGACAAAATGGTTGCTTTTACTAGACACCAACCAGCTGCTGTGAAATGCTGTCAAAAGCATAACTCACCAAGTCCAGTGGGTTTTTTTTTATTGGAGAACCATACCTAAATGTCAGATTCAATTTAGTGCCAAGTTAAAGTAGACTATTTGATGTCACCTTAATAAAATCTGGTACCGCCATAAGTATTGGAGGCACCAGATGTAATTGATAAAATGTTTAATGTGAGTGTTCAGGTATGGCATTTAAATGTATGTCATAGTTCCACTGAACACTGTTATAATGTCATCTATGTCTTCCCTGTACAGTGAGCAACACTAGGCCACCTGTCAAGTTTCATGCAAACATTTACTCATATAACAAATGTTGCACACAGTAATTTTCAGGATGGGGTAAAAATGTAGATTAAAATAAATCTTGTCAAGTAATTGGTGGTAGTTAATTACTTTTGGCATGATGATAATGCAAATATGTAGGCAGGCCAGTCTAGTACCTGGTCTCTTTTACTATGAAGCCATGCTGTTGTAATGTGCATAATGTGGCTTGGTGTTGTCTTGCTGAAAAAAGCGGGGACGTCCCTGAAAAGATGTCATCTGGATGGCAGGACATCTTGCTCTAAAATGTGTATTACCCATGCCATTAGCACCAACACACCACCAGACCATGACAGACACTGGCTACTGGTAACATTCAGGATGGTCTTTTTCCTCTTTGGAGAACATGACATTCATTATTTCTAAAAACGATCTGAAAGGTGGACCAACCACAGCACACATTTCCTCTTTGCGTCAGTCCATCACAGATATGAGCTTTAGCCCTGCTTGCATAGTGCATTTGTAGACAAACTGTGTCTGCCGACGAGGGTTTTCTAAACTATTTCAAAGCCCCTGTGGTGATATTCATTACAGAAGCATGTCAATTTTTAAAGGAGTGTTGTCAGAGGGATCAAAGGTCACAGCATTCAATATTGGTTTTTGGCCTTGCCCTTTGCACACAGAGATTTCTCCGAATTCCATACATCTTTTGATGATATTCTGCACTGCAGAGGGTTAAATACCTAAAGTCCTTGCAAATGCTCCTTGAGAAACAGTATTTTTAAACTGTTGATGCATTTTTGGCAAAGAAGCGAGTCTCAACCTATCCAACTCTGCCTTTCCTGGATGATCCTTTTATACCTAAGCATGATTTTTGGAAGACTTTACAATGTTTCTAGTCTTAAATTTTTTTAAACGTGTTGCAGATATCACTTTTAGAGTGAGCATGTATTTACAAAACATAATGGCGTTTAAAAGCTAAAACATTAAATATCTTGTCTTTGTACTTATTCATTTAAATAAAGGTCAAAGTGAACTTACAAATTACTGCTTTCTGTGTTTATTTGCATTTTACATACTGTCCCAACTTTCTTGGAACTGGGTTTGTAAGAAACAAAGTCTGACATCTATTTTTATGCATTTTAAAGTTATTAATTTTTTTAATGAAGACTTTTTCATTTAAGCATCTTTCATAGAATATTTCGGAATCTCTGAAAGACTATGCATGGTTTGCTATCATTCCGATTAGTCTATTTGTTTTTGTTTGGCTCTTTTTAAACTCTGTTTGATTAATTGACAAAATAATCAGTAAATTATTTGATTACTTATATAATCAGTGGTGACAACACTACTTTAGTGTAATGTCTGTTCGTCCAGTTTTATTTACCAAAATAATTAAAAGCTAATTTCTTCTCCCACAGGTTTCTTTTTATATCCCAAGTCTGCTTCTATTTCGGTGATTAAAATGACAGTTTTGTTTGCCGGTTGCCTACTGATACTCTACAAGTTGACCTTTGCCTTTCAAAGGTTCGGGTATGGGTCCTTAGCACTTTACAATCCTAACTTGTAAATTTTAGGACTGGACGTGATGCTTCCTCTCTCTTGATCATAGATCACAGGTAGGCAGATAATGGTTAAGTGTTCTTTGCTTCACAGACTTGATCAGAACTTTGGTGTGAACATCAGGTCGAAGGTCAATATGGTGAAGAACCTGTCCATTCTGCCAGTGGGCCTATCTTCTAGTCTCTATATGGCACACCTTAGTGTTATTCTATTCATTGCTGACCTTTGTACTTTGACCCCTGTAGGAGTGACTGAGTAGGTTCCTCCTGTGTTCCTCCCCTTCTGCTGCAGTGCAGGAGGAGTGGAATTTTAAAGGGCTCTCTCTCTCAGACTCCCAGCAGATTTCATAACCTCTCTCATCATAGTATCTATCAGAGTCCACGTTCTTCTGTTATAAATAAACCACTGGACCACCAGCACAAGGTAGGAAATAAATGAGGAGCTATCAGTTAGGAATTTTTGATTACACTTTATTTTGATTGTCCATTGTGGATGCTTTGTAGATGCCCACCTTATCTTTAGCTGACATTCAACTGAATATCTAATATATTCAACTAAACCTTTCTCTAACACTAAACCTAACCAACAAAATAAAATGTGACCAATCATTTTTGCTTATTTTTGTCAGTGCTAAGGTTTGGTCGATTCATTATAGAGCAGCATTTTAAGAGATTTTAGGAATAAACTGGACTTTGTGTTTGTGTGGATAAGATATGTGGTGATGCCCACTAGATGGAGTTATTAGCAGGCTGGAAACACCAAGGGCTCACAGTGTTAGCTGTGCGTTATTAGAGTCATTGACTGCCACTGAATTGTAACATTCTATTACTTCATGTTTTTACATTGATTTTATTTTAAGATCATGAATATTTACATATTTGTTTTGTGGGTTTCCCAAACTTACAAACCTCAATTCCAAAAAAGTGTGCCAGCGAATAACCCAACAGTTTAAGAACAACATTCCTCAACGAGCCACGGTGAGGATTTTATGTCACCCTCTACAGAGAATAATATCATCAGAAGATTC